ATAAAATAAGCTGTGTCAATGGCTCAACTAATAGTATTAATAATTGTCAGTTTTGCATCCAAATACTATTACGTTAATCTGGAAAATTTGCTAAGGGAGCCAAATATCTTTTCACTCTCCTTTATATCATGTTTCTAGGAACAGCTTGTTTTTAGCAGCAAGTTGAGCATGTTGTGACGTTACATGTTTAGACTAATGGAGTTTCAAGGATAATTCATTATCCCACATCCATAAACACTAGCAGATGATAAATCAAAAAGCTATTATCAATTGAATTTCCATTACTTTAATTTGAAATGTAAGACACTGAACCAAAATACCATTTTAATATTCTTCGGTAGTAAACTGAGAAGTGTATCTGTAAAGATCTTAGGTTTCAGGCTGTTTGGCTTTTGTACTGTGCTGCCCCACACTGCCAATGACGGCACAAAACATTTTGCTGCTTTTCAAACCACTACTTGTGCTATTTTTGATTGTTATACATCTACCTGCAGTTTCTCTAGTAAGTCCATGTTCTGTTTCTTGAGCTGGGCATTGGCTTTCTCCAGTTTATCAAGTCTATCAGAGTCCTCTGATGGTGGAGGAGCGTCTGACAGCTCATCCTGCAGGACGTGGTACTCCACTTCATACGCATGCAGCTGCTTGGAGATATCCATCTCAGTTGCCTGCAAACGACATTTCATATTGATACCATAAAGTATATCCAAATATAAACAAACAAACGAAAATAAAAATTCTAATCAATTAATTTTTGGTAAGAAACCCTTTACATTTGGAAACACTATTCTCTATTAACTAGTTGCTTATTAGCATGCATTTTACAAGCATATTTGCTGTTTATTAGCACATATTAATGCCTTATTCTGCATGAGCATATTCTAGATCCCTTAACCCTACCCAATACCAAAACGTCTACCTTACATACCATCAATAAGCAGCAATTTAGGAGTTTATTTAGGGAAAACTGTTAATTAATTGTGAATATGTGTCCCCTAATTTAAAGTGTTGCCGAATTGTATTTTTGTCATCTTGTTCTGGTTCATCACAAAACAGTCTTTTTTATTTTTGAAAAGCAAGCTGCACCACCTAGTGGTTAAATAGACTGCATTCTAGTGTACTACATTTTTCACATGCAACACTGTGTTCTGCCTACTATTAAAATAGTATGTTAAACAGTATTCAGTATGCAACAAAAAAAGGTTTCAAACAGTACTATGCTACACTGTTGTCACACAATCTATTTTTACCATAAGCTTACTTTACAGAATAGCATCCAGTCTACATCTCAAAACGAAAAATATAAAAAGATATTTTTAGTTTAAGTCAAGGAAGAGATATTAAAAATCATAGCAGCCAGTGTTGCTATTGATAACTAAAACTACTGAAAATTGTTTTCAGTAACTAAAATAAAGCTGAAAAATACATTAATATAAATATTAGATGAACAACCGAAACTGTAAATTTATGTAAATGAACATTTGAAATGTTCATATGTAAATGTATATAAACTGAAGTACTACAACTGAAAAGAAAAACTAAAAATATAAAAATGCTAAAATATTCAGAAATATTATAATAGTTTATAAATAATACTAAATAACACTATGGCTGATATTACTTATATACTTATATTAACTGATAGATTGTATGGAATATTTGAATGTCTAAAAAAATTGTTTGGTCAAACAGTAGACCAAATATTGAAAACTAACAAAGCCAAAAAAATAATAATAATAAAATAAAATAAAAGGTGAAACACAAAGGGTTGACAGGATCAAAAACTTACTCTTTACCTTATACATTCACATACATTTTATAGTAAAGTTATATCTTGATAATGAAAAAAATGAAATAAATCTTTAAACAAAAAAACCCCAGACATGCATCAGGAAAGTTTATTCCATTTTAAATGTACCTTGGTGATTGTCTCTTCCATCTGGCTGTGAGTGAGGGTGGGGATGGTGGATTTAAGGTAGTCTACAATACTTTCAAAGCCGTCACACTCCAGTATCTCTCCCTCGTGGCTGCTTAGCAAACACAGGGCCACCTTAAAAATCGCCTCCGTGCCTTGGACAAACAGGAGGTCTGGCACACAGCACACATACATGCTTAAGTCATGTCATGGGTCAAAGGCTATGCATTGGCTACAATACTTGACTTATGTGTGGAATACATACATTTTAACACACAAGATCATTTCACCACTATCCTCAGGTTCACCTGAACCCCATTGCATACATTCATTCAGGTCTGCGTAAATTAATTAGAAAGGAAGTGAAATATACCAAATATACGGGCAACAAAGCCAAGCTGGAACTGAGAGGCGAAGAGAGTGAGAAACCAGGGTGCGGCGTACAGGCTGGGACAGATCTCGTGCTCCTCCAGGTGAGTGTACAGGTTACGGTGATAATCGTGCAACAGTCGGGACAGCTGGTACATCTGGATCTACAGACAGAGAAAGAAGAAAAAGTCCTCACACTTAGAGGAGTGAACTTTGAACAGGCTTAAATGCGACTGGCTGAGACAGTGTTTCTCTCATGGGATTAAACATTGGCACATCTGATGATGAATAACCACTAACAGCTGAGGAGGAAACAGTGTACAAAGGTGGCGACGGCTGTTTGAATACCGCTTGAGCAAATGTGTGTTTAAGTCAAGTGTATTAAAAATACTTGCTGTTCTTTTCCTTACAACAAAAATGTTATGCGGAATTTACATTCACTAAAAGTACAGCACAACATTTAAAAAAATATATATTTTTTTTTTTTCTTCTTAAATTTTCATTTGTTTCGCCAGGCAATAAAACAGCTGCTTTGAAAGTTAAACTGACACCTAGTGGTGTAGATGTAGCATTGAGCAAAAACATTTTAGTTAAGAAGGACACTGTAACAATACCCTATTAACGACCATATTTATTATTAACTTTATAAATTAAAGTGTCCCATAAAAGATGCATTATGAGTAGTATTTGGCTGGTCATGTGATCTAAACATGGTGATCCAAGCTTTTTTAGCCACTATGATGACTAAAATGTACACAATTTAAAAAACAAATGTCAACATTTCTGTTTCGCTGGCAACTTCAACAGTGGCTAGTTGTTACACTGACACCTAATGTTTCAGTTACCAATGACACTTTAAAAATAACCTATTCTTTGCCATATTTGTTATTCATTTATATTATAAATGAAAATGTCTGATAAAAGAGGTGTTACCAAGAAAAACCGAGTAGTATTTAGCTAGCCAAATATGCCAATTCAAGCTGTTTAAGCCACTATGTTTACTGCAATGTACATAATATTAAACTAATGTGTCAAAAGTACCATTCATTTCATTTATTCAGTCACGTTAATAATCTAGTTTTTAATGAAATAAGAAAGTACTTATCTAACACTCAGTTCAACTAATTGAGATACACACTCATTCCATTAATTGTTACAAAAACCAGTCCTGCTACATTTGACAATAGGCATACTTTAAATAAGCAAGCATACCGGTTCTGAAAGAAAAACATGAACTAGTGAAAACTGATACTCTTACACGCACAGCGCACCTGCAGAGAGATCATGTCGGGACGGTACTGCCGGCGAATGCCTAGGTCGTACATGAGGAACTTGAGAGTGTCGAAAGCCTGTTCCTCGCTCATATGCAACAGCAGCAAACCGGCCACAAAACTGATCCCCTGGCAGTAGCCCACCTCCGTGTCCAGCAGGGAGTAGGCCTTTAGAAGATTGTACAGAGACAGCTGTCCAGCTCCCAGCTGAGTGCTGAAATACTGGTGTGTTGGGAATGTCCGGCCTGGAAAGGATGGGGGACATCACTTCAGTAATGTACTGGGTCAAAAATGTACTCATATTCTGATGTTCATGTGAATTAGCAGCATAAACCATAAGTGCTTTGGTTAGATACAGACCAAGGTCGACCAGGATGGCGTGTTGCTGTGCTGTGAGCTGTTTGAGGAGATCCTGATAAGGCGTTTCAGGGGGCTGCTGCCTCTGCGGCAGACGGTGACGCAAACGATACTGCTGGGAGAGCAGGAGCCACACTTCACCTCGCCGACTTTTGGGGACACCTACAGAGCACAGGCATGCAAACAAACAACGTGAGCAAACTCTAAGGGTTATTAAGAATATACAATAGCAAAACTATTTCACATGTAAAAGTATGTATTTCTATAAATATGTTCACACTATTGAAACGTTTGGGGTCAGAAAGTTTCTTTTAAAGATATTAAAATGTTTAAATAGCAAATGTAATACACATTAAATTGCTAAAAACAGATTTTTAAAAGAAAGATTTTTACAACATTACAAAAATGTTGTATTACAAATAAACGCTGTTCTTTTGAACTATCCATTCATCAAAGTATCCTTCAAATGTATTCTTTCCACAAAAACATTAAGCCAAACAACTGTTTTCAACAATGATAATAATAAGTGGTTTTTGAGCACCAAATCATCATTATTAAAATGATTTCTGAAGCATCATGTGACACTGAAGAGTAGAGTAATGACTTATTAAAATTCTGCTGCCAACACAAGAATAAATTATATTTTTAAAATATATTAAATTAGAAAACGGCTATTTTAAATTGTAATAGTAATTCAGATTATTACCGTTTGCTTTGCGGAGCATAAGAGACTTCTTTCAAAATCTTACTAACCCCTAATTTTTGAACGGTAGCTAGAAACAAAAGCTGATGTAGACCAAAATCTTAGGATTTTATTGATGGAAGTATAAAGATTAAACAGCTTATACCTTGACAGACAGCACCGTGGATCTCTTCTTTGTCCCATTGTACTTTAGTGCGGCAGGGACTGCTCAATTTCCTGTCCCAAAGGGCCTGCACCTCTTTTGAGCACTGACACACTTCCTGGTAGTCCAGCTTCATTTTCCGAATGTGCAATTCATCACGGCTGGCTGCAAGGTGAGAAAACCGATAGTCAGGTTTAGCATTCAACAGAACAATTGACATATTAACGTATTGTTATTATATATTACTTTGGATCTAAAAGCATTCTGAGTGTCAAAATGAAAGGGCATCATGAGGTGTGACCCAAAATGTAGACAGAAGGGAAAAACAATGCTAAACGCAATTTAAATTGTAATTAAAATTCATTCATATCTTTTAATTAAAATTCATTAATACGATTCATAATAAAAATGACATTCATCACATTATTTTAAAAACATATTAAAATATATATTCTCAAAATATGTTCCTAAATAAATTCATATTAAAAATATGTCATTCATCACATTATTTTGAGAACGTTTTATTTATTTGCAGTTTTGGTATTGTGTAAAATCTGGGTCCACAAGCAAAATCTGTTGAAAACCACTAACAAGTATTCAATGTCATGCATGCAATAATTTTGTCAGTTTCTGTTTGTAAAAACAAATAAAAAGTGCCTTTATAGCAATGCATGTACACTGGAAGCCTCACAGGCAAGCATGCATCACTGCAAATAAACTGTAGCACGCTTCTGATCGAGGAATATTCTGGGTTACATGCACCATAAGTTTCCATAGCAACTTTAGACAAGGTTCAGAGTGGATTAAGATATGGCACGGCCTTTTAAAATAACCTTAACAAAGCATCACAACACATTTTTCACTATCCAAGTTAAAAGCATACATGAGCATCTTTGCACAGAAGAGAAGAGAAAGACACTCTGTTAGACTCCAGAACTGAGGCAACTCTGCAACCAATGGACTCAAAAGGAGAAAATGATATCCTACAAGACAACTGTTATTGATTATCTGCACTTGAGAACATGTAGCTATCTGCCTCATGCTGGTTTGTATACTACATTGTAGCCAAACAATGATATCATGCCAACAACTGCTTGAAGTGCAGCCCATTCTGGCGAGACGTCAATGCCATTGCCGTATATTCTTACCTTCTACTCAGACATGTTTATTCAGTTCAGCCCATCCAAGAGTACACAAAAACAGACAGAAAACACCAAAAAGGTAGAAAAGTGGCTTAAGTCTCATGTGTGATGCAGTTTGGCCAACAGAGGGCAATATTTCACAACGCTTTGCTGCTCCAAAGCAAAGTTTAAGTAATAAACAATAACACATAATGTGTTAAAGAGACTGAATGACTGATATTTTTTGAAAGACTAACTATTTTTTTTTATTTGAAAGACTAAGGCTAATTATGTAGCCTAGTGGTAACAGAACTGAAAGTGCACTCTTAAAGAACGTGAACATCATCCAGACATTCCAAACTATAATTAACTTTGCCCCAGAATGTAAAATAGAGGCAGTGGCACTTGCCCCTCTAAAAATAAGGCCAGGGCAAAAACAACAGTCTAATCAGAGTGACGGGAGGAAACACTCCCTCGTCTGTGACTCCATAATGTCCCATATACGCTGAATTACTGCTCTAGGTTTTTACGCAATTGACAGACACATTTATACAGTGAATTAGATTGATTCAAGATTACAATTTTATATCATTTTAGAACTTAATATATGCATTCCCTGGGAATCAAACCCATGACACTGGCGTAAGTGCCATGTTTGAGCTACTATTTAAAGGGATAGTTCACCTAAAAAATAAAAATTTGGTCATTATTTACCCACCCTCATGTCATTCCAAACATGACTGACTTTCTTTTACGCAGCACAAAAGTAGATGCTTTGAAGAATCTCCAGTGTGATTTTAGTATTATTTACATACTCAAAATAGCTATGTCTAGATGCGTTTTGGCAGGTTTGATGTCCAAGACACAAAATGTCATTGGATTTCATGTCTTTTGTTATCGAAACAACACAGCAAGATTATCAGTGAGTATCAACTTAAATTTGGATCCGTTTCTAACACAAACCTATTGTATGCCTTCAGAAAAATGGTAATATAGTCATCCCAAATGAAACGCAAATCCAAAATGAAAGGAAGGTTAAATTATAAGAGAGGGGAATATGAGTAGAAACACTAACCCTCCAGGCGCTGATTCTCTTTCTCCATGCGGATGAGCAAAATCTGTTGGTGGATGGCTTTCTTCCACAGGGCCCTGTAATCAGCTGGGCTCCGCCGGCCCTTCTCTCCACCAAAGCCCTGCTCTGGGGTCAAGGGGCTGACCTGAGGGTTTTGATCCTGGTTCAAAGCCCGAGGAGAAAGTGGCAGCAGTTCCCGGCCATCCATGTGGTCTGCAAAACAGCAGATGCAGACCAAAATGTCAAAGACTCATGCTCAAATTGCATGTAAAGATAATAAAGTGATTTCCCTGACATAAAACTATTGTGATGGTACTATGACATCAATGGCAATACCATTGTACCAATACCATTGTATTACATTACCATATTCATATATCAAGATATACACACTGTTCAATAAGGTAATTCAATGTTACATAAAATATACACAAAAAAATATTTTATATAATAAGAATAGTTATTATTATTGATTATTATTATAAAATAGTGCTGTCAAATTGATTAATCATGATTAATAGCATCCAAAATAAAGGTTTGTTTACATATGTATATAAATATACACACATACATGTATATATTTAAGAAATATATGTAGTATATATTTATATTTACATATAATATAAATCATATATCAATATTATATCAATATATATATACAGTATATATATATATATATATATATATATACAAAATGTTATAACAATATAAAATAATGCTTTCTATTTTAATATCCTTTAAAATATAATTTATTTCTGTGATGAAAAGCTGAATTTCCATCAGCCATTACTCCTGCATAAAGTGTCACATGATCCTTCAGAAATCATTCTAATATGCTGATTTATTATTAGAATTATCAATGTTGGCAACAGTTGTGCTGCCAAATATTTTTTTGGAACATATGATACTTTTTTTCAGGATTCTTTGATGAATAAAAAGTTAAAAAGAAGAGCATTTATTTAAAATAGAAATCTTTTCTAACAACATAAATCTTTGCTATCACTTCTTATTAATTTAACACATCCTTGCTGAAAAAAAGTTTTAATTTCTTTCAAAAAAAGAAATAAAAATTAACTGACCAAAAACTTTTGAACAGTAGTGTATATTGTTAGAAAAGATTTCTATTTTAAATAAATGCTCTTCTTTTTAACTTTTTATTCATCAAAGAATCCTGAAAAAAAGTATCATATGTTCCAAAAAAATATTAAGCAGCACTGATAATAAATCAGCATTTTAGAATGATTTCTGAAGGATCATGTGACACTTTATGCAGGAGTAATGGCTGATGGAAATTCAGCATTGCATCACAGAAATAAATTATATTTGAAAGTATATTAAAATAGAAAGCATCATTTTATATTGTAATAACATTTTGCAAGATTACAGTTTTTTCTGTATTTTTGATCAAAAAAATGCAGCCTTGATGAGCATAAGAGAAGTCTTTAAAAACATTACAAGTCTTACTGATCCCAAACTTTTGAGCGGTAGTGTACATGTGTGTGTGTATTTATATATACATATAAATATGCACAGACAGTACACATACATATATTATGTAAACAAAAAACTTTTATTTTGGATAGCACTATTATAAAATGTAATAATATAATAGTATACAAAATATACTATTAACTAACTATATTATTATTATTATTTATATCATGTATTTACTTCTTTATATTATATACCATTGTTACAGTTTATTTTTCTTGAATCTCAAAAGAAAGAATTATCTTGAAGTTCTAAAGCTTGCAGAACAATGATTTTTCCTGCCATGTTGACTATAAATAGACTGCTGGGAGAAGAGGGTGTAATGTTGCACCTGTCTGCTTGTCTGTGTGTGCGCTCGAGCATGTGTACCCACCCACGTTTTGCATAGATGCAGAGGGTTTGTTCATGGGTGACGCCACCCTTAGGAAAATCTTCTGGCGCCAAGAAACTCTGCGTGGAGGCACCAAGGTCAAAGAATCGGTGCTACAACCGGACAGAGACCTCTTCCTGCCCTCTCCATTACCACTATAGAAAAACAAAAGATATGCTTATACAAATGAGTAGACAAGCAACATTTGTAGGCCGTGTACTCTCAATACAGGTGGCCAGAGCAGCTATAAGCTAATAAACAACACATATTTGTGTAACATGTTCATTCAGCAGTACATTTAAGCAAAATCTCATAAGCATTAACCATCAGTGCATTTAGATGGTCATAATACATGTTAATTGGTTTCATGCATAAAGTACATAAAACACAGATAACCAGTTTTAAGGAAAGAGAAAAGCATTAGGAAGTGGACAGAATGAGGAATAACTAAATAATGCACAAAGGAAATTTACACAGATATCATTCTTTAGATCTTTTCACCAACAATCAATTCAAAACATTCAGTCAACTTATGTACGAACAAATAAATAAATAAAAATTTAAATTTTACAATGTAATTTATTCCTGTTAATTGTCACATGTTCCTTCAGAAATCATTCTAATATGCTGATTTGGTGCTCAAGAAACATTTCTTATTATCATCAATGTTGAAAAAATTTGTGCTACTTAATATTTTTGAGGACACCACAATACATCTGTGTGTGTGTGTATGTATAATCTTTTTTTTCCATTAGATATGAGATTTTTTAAGGATTTCCAAGTCCAAGAAGCTGAAATAGATGTTTAATATCCAAGTCAGGAATAAGATGTGGCTGTAATCAAATCGGTTTCATCCTGCTAGTCTCTATGTTCCTTGTATCTGTCTCTTTGCTTAGTTACCACAACAATACACAAGCGACAGCAAGGACACTTCAGGCAGAGTTAATGAAAGCGTGAAACAAGTTTAAATGTTATGCATAACATGCTGGCTAGAGAAATGGACCAACCCTGACCACCACACGGACAGGTGTGCCGCACATTCAATTAAAAGAGACAGCTGGTGACATTCAACACACAGAGAGAAGGACCTTCTCTCCAATTTGTAGAAAAGGATGTGACATTTTAAATGTTATCTCCTTCTTTCAGAGCACGCAAAGCATTGGAGCCCACTATGTCAAACAAATGAAGGGCAAATACACATCGAGGAACATCATTTGTCAGTGAGTCCAAGGTGGCTGTTGTTCAGATGAAAGAGTGCTTGTCGTTCAAGCCACTAGCACAAAAGTCTGGTCAAACAGTATTGTCCTGTTAAGAGACCCTTGGGAGAGTTTCTATATTCCACACATGGTTTCACTGTTTTAATACACTCGCCCTTGACAACCACTGATATATATTCCATTCACTGGAGGAGCTTTAAGTGTCAGAGAGAGGCTGCAAATGGCTATGTAAATCCAAATGGACTGTTTTTAGCACAAAAAAGGGTTAACCCTGAGAAAAAGTGTAATGTGTTATATGACCCCATTAACTGGTTTTAGAACATAAAATATATTTAACAGTTTACCCAAACAATTTGGTCATCATTTGCTCACCCTCCTGTCATTTCTTCTACAAAACACAAAATATATTTTAAAATTGTTGGTAACCAAACAGTTACCATTGACTTCCATTGTATATCTTCTTGTATGTTCCACAGAAGAAAGTCATACAGGTCTGGAACACCATGAGGGTGAGTAAATGCCATGGTTCATCACATGATTCACTTTTGGGTGAACTATCCCTTTAATAGCAACATCAAACTGGTGTTGTTGAAATGTTCTGTAAATGTGGGTGTGTGTTAATGTCGCTTTTTGATGTCAGACATCCAAAGATTTCTGAACAAGTCATTGTTGCAGTTTAGCTTTAATTAAAGATCTTGTTGAAAACACCATCATAAAACTGGTTTGAATGTTTTAACTGGTTTGAAATGGTCTCCCAGCCTGGCTAAGCTGGTGATTTATTTTGCTTAAAGGTGCTCTAAGCAATATTTGAAAACCCTTTTGACCACCGTGTCAGACAGAGTCTCAAAACACACTTGCTGCCAATCAGCAGTAATGGGCATGTCTAGTAATGATAGGGAGAAGAGAGCGCTCAGTGAGTGCACAGGACGGATATTAGCAGATCGACTATAGATAGCGAAAGAAAGCAGATAAAAAAAGGAGGAACAAAACATTAAAAAGAAGGGTTACGATCAGGCAAGAGGTAGGACCCTCATAAATATTGGAGCAGCTTTCCAGTGGTGGAGAGAACTCAAGGAGCGGGAAGGCCTAGAATCGGACGCCGGGGTTGCTTTGTTTCTTCTTGATAGGTGAGTTACGTTGATTTTGCTTTGTTTCACGCAACTAATCTGTGTTGGCTTTTGCTTGAATATGCTGCAGCCGGCAGGCATAGCAAATTCCACCATCGTCGCTGCCAGGGTTGTGTACGGAGTACGTACATGTAGGCGGAGTTATCAAAATAGGGGCGAAGTCTTGTTGGGGTATGGGCGTGTTTGTTTTGGTGCTTTCAAATATCAACATCGTTTGGCAAAAATCGCTTAGTGCACCTTTAACTGAAAATCTGACATATCTATTCTGACCTATTTGAAAACTATTTACAAAAAAGAAGAAAAAAAAATAAGATGAGTCAGACAAACTAAAAACCATCTCGAATTATTCAAACCAACCCGGAAACACCATTTAAAAATTAATTCGGAATTATTATCCAACATAACAGTGTACATTTTTGTCAATATTTAAACACAATAGAGTATAGATTAGTAGAAAGTTCTGCGCTAGTTGTTTAATGAGATATAGATGATAAATGCTTTTGTTTACCATTAGTTAGTAAAGACACCAACATGCAAATGAGGTTTAGCATCCCTCTTGTCCAGTGGACAATGACAAAGTCCAACAATTTCGACAGGAAGAGAGAGAGTAAGTTACAGAAGTGGTCCTTCCTGACTGATGACAAAGTGACTGAAGCCTTTGGGTTAAGAAACAGACAGGCGCAGAGAAGGCAGCCACCATCAGCTCGAATCTCAGGCACCCCCGGGGGGAAACGAACACTGAACGGTCTGAAACCGATGCCCCCTCTCACCTCTTAAGACTCTCGCCGTCCGACAGGGAGGCCAGTGAGCTAAGGGAGCCCTGGTAAAAGGTTTTCAGGAAAGTGGGGGTGTGGAAGGAGGATGAGAGACTGAAGTAGGACTCGCTCTCAGAGACACTGCGCACTCTCGAGAAACCAACGGTGCTGAGGGAGCCGAAACATAAAAGGCCCACAACAAATACACATTACTTTACAGAGGACTAAACCCTCCCATGAAACCACAATCTAGAACACGAGTGCTTGTGAGCAGATGAAAGATTCCTTCAAGTGAGCATAACAATTTCAGGTTTTGCCTGGGAACTGGAGATTCTTTTATTACTTTTTTTTAGTGTAAAAAAAAAAAGTAAAACTTCTGACATAACTACTAAACAATCTTTAGCAGACCGCAAAATTATTATCCAATTTAATTTTACATTTTTATAGTTTTTTAAATAAAAAAATAATAAGAACATATTTTTTTAATATCAGCCATGTATTGGTTATTGGTAAATTAACACATCCAAACAAAATCAAAGCAAATTACCAATTCAGGCGCCCTGACCTGTATGTAAATTCCTTAATAATATTCCAACACAATAATAAAATGTCTTCAGTTGGGGGAATTTCTCAGCTAATGCTGATACTGGTTGAATTAACTACCATATAATATAATTAAGTTGAATAAAAATGTTTAAACATTTGACAGAATTTATTATCCCATTAAAAATGCTGATTTATTAAAAAAAAACATATACAGATCACAAAAATGTTAAACAATAAAAGTCATATAAGCATCATATCCTCTAGTTTTAGTAATTTTCTAAATAATGTGAATTAGTGCTAAATCCAACAATACACACAAAACATGCCACATGCTCTCTCCATGCTAAAATCAATCACTTTTATCAGTTTATATGTACTGTATGGAACCATATCTATGATTTTTGCAATTATACACAACAAGCTGTTTTCAGCATGTCAGTGCATTGCTGCAACATTCTGTACATCATATGACTGCTGAAAAACAGATGGAAAGATATACGACTATCACATGAGAGCAAACAGGAAGTGATGCATTACCTGCTCTGCAGCAGCTCTGGGGCCAAAGACTGCTGTCGCCGCAGCGGAGCCTTACAGGCCTGGGAGGAAACCTCAGTGAAGGAGATCTTTTTTTTGATGGGCGGGTGGCTGAAGGTGTGCGCCCGGCGACGGAACTGCGGGGCATCTGGGTCCTCCTCAAGGTAACTGGGTGGAGTCCCAGGTGGGGAATCACCAGGGGAGTCAGCCTGCTGGGTGAACAGAGGATGAACCAGGTCAGTGTTGAGATGGACCCAACACCCTGACGTACAACGATATTGTATTCAAAATATATCTTTGAAATCCTCAAACTTTAAAATCCACAAGCTCAGCTTTTCCAAGAGTCAAACCTCAAATTCAACTACTTGCCAGACAGAAACAAGCAATCTACTGAGAGATGCATGTATAACCTTCAAGTTTCAGACCAAGCAAAACAAATGACTTGACGTCAGCTTTATCAAACTACTGATTCTCGACTCACCCAGCATTTCCCTCTCCCCGTCCAACCTGAGTCTCGGTTCGCTTCCCCAGGCAGAAGTGGCTATGTTGGTGGTAGCGTGACTGCACACACTATTGTATGTTAATAGTCTGTGTCAGAGCCACATCAGGCACACATGAGCTGTTGGAGGTGGACCGCAGCACAATGGAGGTTTTGGCTGCTGTTTACTGTCATGGCTATAGGAAAAGTCTCACTTCCTCACTCTGTTTCCTGTCCCTGCGCTACTGAACCCATGCTCTCCTGTGAGTCAGTACACAGCAGGGCCAGGAAACCAACAACGGCTGCACAATGCTCTCTCTCCTTCCACCTGCACAAATCACAAACCCTGCCCACTTCCTTCAGCTGCTTACAGCTAAATTTGGGAAAAACAAATGATCCAAACAACATAATAGTTCTCTTGGCAGGGTAACACAAAGGGAATGGGAATCTTTATATAGTGTAAGTTTGATCAATTTGGAACCAGTTGGTTAATTGTAATTGTACAAATGGCTCAGAAAAGAAAAGTTAGTACTGAGGAAAAAGTTAAAACCCTTTTTTTATGACTGATCATTGTTTATGGATACCACTTGGTTTGATATTTTGTTATAGATTGCCGCATTTTTCAACTGGGGTTTGAACACAATTTGACCAATGAATTTCCATTATTCTTCCAGTTGTTTTTGAATTCTGGATAAGGGTTTTTAAAAATAGACATTAATATTGTTTGGGATTAAGTTAATCAATATTTAGCCAATGAAATATTTCAAAGCAGAGCATAACTAGACAAATGGATATTCACTACATAAATTTAATAATATTCAAATATAAACTTCCCTGATATTTCCAGGTTTTCCATTACCTTAGAAACCCTATATTTATTCTATTTTTGTTGATTATTATTTTACTTAGATTACTTTCCCCAATCACTCCCTTTAGTTTAGTTTTTTGGGTTTTTTTGGTAATCCTATTAATACTGTTATTTTTCAATTATGATTTTATTTCATTTTACAAAAATGGTTTAAAGGGATAGTTCACCCAAAAATTTAAATTGTCATAATTTCACCATCATGTTGCTCCAAAACTGTATGACTTCTTCTGTTAAAAACAAAGGAAGATATTTTGAAGAATGTTGGTAACCAAACAGTTTTGCTGACCACTGACTTCCATTGTATAGAGAGAAAAAAAAACATTTACTGATACATTTCTCTCGCTTTATACATATACTCTCTCTCTCTCTCTCTCTCTATATATATATATATATATATTAGGAGAAAGTAAGTCATTTGGACAACATGGGAGTGAGTAAATGATGACAGAAGTTTCATTTTTGGGTGAACTATCCTTTTAAATCAATCATTTTCATCATTGTTTTAGATTCACTATATGATAATAATTCTCAGAACTGATTCACAGTACATATAACTTGGAAGAGAGCCATAAACAAGGAGTTGCTGGATTGTAACATGTTATTGAGAGCTGAAGGTGCTCAAAAATTGGCAGTGCCTCTGAGGCCATGTGAGGACCCTGTGGGAAGGAAGAGCTGACTGATTTATTTTCCATGGAGACATGTCCAGAGACCCGAGCTTACCATCACACACACCTCATATTTCACACCCCACCGAGACAGCGAGGTGGACCGGGTCAAAACAAGCCACCCCCCAATAAGCAAGGCTGACAGGCCAGATTCAATCCTATTCCTCAAGCTGATGCTGAAAAGTGTATCATAATGTAGTGTATCATAACACAGCATTGGTATTATTTTCAGTATGCGGTGGTAATTGACACCACAGAGACATGCTTGCTGGCAGGGGAAGAACAGAGACGTGATTCTTGGCAGGGAGACAACAAGAGCTGGGGTTAAAATGACAGATCCTGGTCTTCACGTGTTGTGTGATACTCACGCGGTCAAAACTTCCCATGCTGCCGAGACGCATTCGCATACGGTTGGCCCCCTAGGAAAGAAAATTAAACAACAAAATTAAAATATAAAACCATCAGCAACCTGCTTGAATGTCAGGATTGACATTTACACATGAATAAAACAAAGATTCTGTCATCATTTAATCAACATGTCATCCATCATTCACAAACCTGTATTATATTTTTCATGGAACACACAAAAGATGATATTTTGAAAAATTATAATGCTACTCTTTTCCATGTATCAAAATCAAATAGTGCCCATCGAAAAATATAGAAATATAAAAATGTATACAGGTTTGGAACAACATGATTGTGAGCAAATGATTGAAACTGTTCCTTTAACTGAACACACACACATCTAATGGAGAATTCAGGCATAGCTGATCTTTATCCTTACACATAGATATTGTTTTGTGAGTAAATACAGCAGATGGTTAATTCCTTGTAATACTGTACACAAACAAAGGCATTATTCAGTACAGGGGTGGGGTAAATGGGTCAATCCCCATTCATAGATCACAAAGACATAGATCAGGGGTGGCGAACGTCGGTCCTGGAGAGCCGCAGCCCTGCAGAGTTTTGCTTCAACCCTAATCAAACACACCTGAACAAGCTAATCAAGGTCTGAAGGGTTACTAGAAAGCTACAGGCAGGTGAGTTTTAATTAGGGTTGGAGCTGTACTCTGCAGGGCTGCGGCTCTCCAGGACTGGAGTTCGCCACCGCTGACTTAGGGGTACAAAATGTACAAATGTGTACCTCCCCAGTGACAGCTTTTGTACCTTTTTTTCTGAGTGTGAGTTGTGCATGGAGAAATGCCCACATTTTCTTCAGAAAATGGTCAAACTATGATTGTTTTTTCAAATATTGAGATTTTGTGCTTTTTGCTTATTCTTTTGTACTATTAGAAAAGTTTGAGGGTGTTTGAGCTCAGAAATACATTAAATCTGAGTGTTAAAATTTGACGTCTCACTATATTAGAGTTGTTGTGTTGTGAGGGTTTAATCAGGAGATGATCTCAGGTTAGGTTTGCACTCATGCTATCAGTATAACGGTGAAGCAGCGTGCTGAAACTCTCTGCGGCAGCACAGCTCTCCTGTCAGAGCCGGTTTGGATGAGGAGGAGGTTTGCGGTGACCCCTGTGCTCAAGAGAATCACAGCATTCAGCGCTTTCTGCCCTGCATATCTCACGTCTTTAATGCATTCAAAAGTACAATGCATAAAAATACTATGGTATTTTTTTTAATACTCAAATTAAATATGTATGAGCTCAAACCCCCTCAAACCTTTCTAATAGTAGACAAACATCCATAACCATAGAAAATCAGCAATCTTCAAAAACAACAACTGCAATAATAAAAACTATTATTATTATTATTATGCCCATGCACAACTTGCCACTACGATGGCACAATGCCTACAGTGGGATTTATAAATAATTGTGTGGAAAAAGGTTAAGTAAAAAAAAAATTACAAAACATCTACAAAAAATTTTTAATGAAAAATCAAGGTTGTGTCCATGCACAACTACAACGTGTTTTTATGATGTCTGTGATGTGATTTATTATAAATAATTGTGTGGAAATAAGGTTAAGTGAAAGATTATTAGTAAAAAAGTAAATACATTTTTTTAATTGTAGCTTAATTTTTTTGCCCATTCGCAACTCACTGCTACAATACCACAATGTGTATGATATATGATTCATTATAAATAATAAGATTAAAACGAAAAATAAGTTGTGACCATGCACAACTCGCTGCTATAAAATAAGGGGTGGCGAACGTCGGTCCTGGAGAGCCGCAGCCCTGCAGAGTTTTGCTTCAACCCTAATCAAACACACCTGAACAAGCTAATCAAGGTCTGAAGGGTTACTAGAAAGCTACAGGCAGGTGAGTTTTAATTAGGGTTGGAGCTGTACTCTGCAGGGCTGCGGCTCTCCAGGACTGGAGTTCGCCACCGCTGACATAGATGGACAACACACACATACTCGTGAGATGATGTTCTCCAGGGAGCTTGTCAGAGAACTCCGGGCTTTGTTCTTCAACGCGTCCAGTTTATTGCGGCCTGCACTGGAGTTATCAGAGGTCATGGTGCTGCCAGAAGCATTCTGCTGTCCCACAAAGGAAAAAAGGGAGCGAGTAAGCGAGAATGAATGTGCCATACAACTAGACAGTTTTGTGACAGATCTGTGAAAACCGTGTTCTGCACTTGGTGACATTTCACTCAATAGATTATAAAATAATGGAAGAAAGACCACCAGGCATCAGGGATAAATCATCACCTGTCTAAAACAACGCTCTACCACAGAAACACAATAGAGCTTAAAGCACAGATTAAGTGCATTGGAAGCCTTGCTAATTATGTCTTCCCCCACCCCCAATTTTCAATTTAAAATAAATTATTTTCTATTTCAATATATATAATAAAATGTAATTTGTTCCTTTTCAGCAGCCATTACTCCAGTCTTCAGTGTCACATGATACTTCAGTTTAGCTATTTATTTATTTATTTGGAAACTGTGATACATTTCTTTCACAATTTGTTGATGAACAGAACATTTAAAAGAACAACATTTATTTGAAATAGAATAGTTTTGTAACATTATAAATGTATTTACTATCACGCTTGATCAATGTACACACATACATACATTATATTAATATGCATGCTTATATTATTCAATACACACTAACCAATAGCCACAAGCTAAGTGTTATTAATGGAAAAGGAAAGTTGTAATGTGCACTGATAAATCATTCAAAATAAGACCAAGAATATAAATTAAGAATGTAAATAGCATTAATTTTGACTGCATTGCTTTAAAAGCAGTTAGACATAAGACATTTTTCCAGAGACGAAGTACTCTTGAGAATGTACCATACCACACACTCAGAAGGGCAGCTGCATTCATTCAGGAGCTCTGTTCTAATCTATAGCTGTTCAGATGACACTTACACAATCTGTCTTATCCAATTAGAGCAGGGGTGTCAAACTCATTTAAGGTTGAGGGCCGAATCGGAGAAAATGTCCCCTTGTGCGGGCCGAATTACCTTTTGTTAAACCCTAGTTTGCTCACAATTACATTAATATTAACCATACAAACTACAATATAATAAAATTAAAAAAATCTAGGACAACTTTTTTTTTTAAAGATGATGCTTGGTTATTTTAGGGGTGTGCAATATTGACACAAAATTTCTTTTTTTTTTTTTGATGGTGCTAATTACCATATTTTGCAGAGTGTGTTTTTGAGATAGCACCTTGGTTGGTTTAAGCCTGTAATGGATAAATAAATATGACAGTAAAGCCGCCAGTAGGTGGCAGCAAGTTTCCGTCTTAATGAGTGATCCATTGACTCATTCATTCAAAACGGCTGATTCGTTTAGAAACTAAGCTGGTGATTGTCTTTATGAATGGGCCAATGAATCATTGACTCAAATAATTTGTTCAAATACAGATTAATTCAGTAACAAAATACACAGTGCTGCTTTGGAGACACACAATTGGTCTTACTTCGGCTTTGTTAAAAACTATTTCTTGCCAAAACAGAGATAAACAGATAGCATTGTGACTAATAACACACTTAATACTAGCATCTTGTTTGTTGAGCTGTTATATAAAATTTAAATTCAAAGTAAAATATTGTAGCGAATACACTTTATTTAATTTTCAAAATTATGTTTTATTTATTATTTTATAATATTGTTTAAATCATCTTGCGGGCCGGATTGGACACCTCTGTGGGCCGTGTTCGGTCCGCGGGCCGTATGTTTGACACCCCTGAATTAGAGGGAGGTCACAGTTTCATGACTCTGCAAGGCGGCGTGGGTGGGCAAAGCAAGTGGTGTTTTTATGCTGTTTGTGTAGTTATGCTACCTGTGGGACCTCTCCAATATGAACATGAGACTTCTGCTTAGTCTCGCACAGCTGTCGGAGGTGAAGAATCACAAGCTCGTTTTCTTCATGATCGGATGCTGGCTTCATTTTCTAATGCATGAGAAAATACAAACTAAATATGCAATAATAGAATTGAAATTGAAAGATGTTTAGCTACTTTGTCTGCAAAATTTCTCTTTATGTGCCTACCTGCACCCGCTCGAATATGTTGACCTGCTCGTTGTCGCTCAGTTCGGACAGGTACTTCTGAATGGCTAGTTTTGCCCTGGGAGGATACAAGCCTGGGAGATTGAGAGAGAAACACACTGGAATATTGTACTAAAAGTGGGATGAGGACATTGAGTGAGTTGATGGAAGCTGGTGGCTGTACCTTCTATTCTCTCACAGAGCTTGTGCAAGTCATGCATTGGACAAGCTTCACACAGTTCGATTTGGTTCTTGGAGCTCTGCAGAGCTGCTGCTGTGGTAAAAGCTTGTTTCAGGGTGAGCATTACTTCATCCACCTGTGTGGAGACAAATAAAAAAAAAAGTCTTGGTGAAATACATTAATGTCAGTAAAAAAATATCTTAATTCAACAAGTCAAAAACGTATACAGTAATAGACTTGAAACATAGACAATGAAAATCTAATGGCCAATCATACAAGATTAATTATTCAATATCAAAACATGTTATTTGATTTGTGAAGTTGTCTCAATTGTCATTTTGAAATGAGACAATCTTTCTGTACATGTGTGCAAAAACATACAGTACGTCTAATTCTATTCATCCTCTGGGTGGCATTCAGTTGGCAGAGATATCAGCATACTAAAGGCAATGTCCACAAGACAGGCAAGGGAGGGTCATTGTTTCCATTGTAGCTTAGGATAAATAATTGATCAGTGTGGTGACAACAGGTTCTGCAAGCAAGTCAGGACTCACCAGAGACTCACTAGCGCACTGGAACACGTAACACACATACTGGGCTGGGCCAGACTCCACCACATCCCGACAAATAAAGCCAAAGTGATCTGTCTGTTTAACACCCTGCGGACACAAAAAACAACATCAATAAAAGATAAATAACTTTATAGAGCTGCGAGTCACAATGCAACAACAACAACACAGAGCAGCATAATTATTCACTTTATAAAACAAATGATTCTGAAATCTGATTGGATGAAACGTGTTCGAAACAGTGACTGCACATCAGTTTAATTTTATTTTAATTTACCAACTTGCTACATTGCTTGGCAACTGTAAACGGCTTAGATTTAGTCTAATAAACTTGGCGCAAGAATTGTTTAATGTGATTATTATTGGTAATACACAGAATTTTTATTCAATTAACCAATATATAATATAGTATTATAATATAATACCAATGTATTATACAACAATGAACCCAATAAGCATTTAAAGATGTGTTTTACAGTGATTTTACCAAGTAAAAATGCCTACAAACATCCCTTAACTATGACAGATTAATATAAGACAAATATAAGTACATTTGTAAAAAAAAAAAATTCTGGTACAAACCCTCATGTTAGTAGTTTGGTACTTGATTTGAATAGCATTGTGTGATAACATATGGTGACATTAAATATGAGAGGGAGAGAGATTATCTCTAAAACCAAACAAACCTAATCCTTACACACACACACACACCTGTGAACGGGACGAGATCTCCTTAAAATTCTTCTCCAGAACCACAGATTTGGTGTCAGGGCTGATGAGATTCACTTCAAACCGTCCAACCTGCACAAAAGAGCCGTTTGAGAGCATACTTTGCTTACTGAGAAGGAAGCAGCAGGAATAAAAACACAAATATCAAGCTAAATGTCTGATAACTGATAACTCATTTTTGGTTTACCATTTTTATTTTTTGTCTATTTAAATTTAAAATGGCCCTTCCCGTGCCCTGAAATAAGCATATGCATTATTTCCTGTCAAACGCCAAGTAAGAGTATTCTAGTACCTAGTGTGTATGCGAACTGATGCAGTCATAGGACACAACACACAGTAAAAATAGTATATTCTTAGCCTCAATGGTGAGTGAAACTGCTATTGGCTAATGGCAGACATTATTTAGTAACCTAGCAAGATATTTAGTCGCACATGTGAATGATTTACTCGCAATGTAGAGGATTGTCTATTAACTTTAACTGTATGGACAAAAACTGTTGAATATTGATTGGTTGGCATTTTAACGCCATGCCAGCTTCCTTGACTATTTTCATGGCAAGTAACAAACTGAAATACTATAAAAGAGCCATTTGAAAACCTATACAAGTTTTCTCAAGTTTGCTTTTGGTAAAAAGACAAAAAATAAATTGCCTCTGTTAAAAAATTATTTGAAAAACAGTTGAAAGAGTTATTGATATCTCTTGCATTCCAACATAAAAAGAAATTTCATTTTTGAGGCACCTGTCAAAGTTCATGAAATCACAAGCTAAAAGTAAGCTTGTATCTGCGTGTAGTACCTGGAACAGCATTGTGCGATTCTTGTCAGCGTCAGAAGGCTGCACGTTATTGGGCTCACTAGCGTGTCTCCTACGAGTCGACCCCTTGCCCGCCTCTCTGGGCCTTTTCTGCAGACCGCCCGCCAAGCTATTACAGCGCGTACGAATCTCCTGCTGCTCCCCAAAATCTGAGTCCTCCAAGATACATTCAGGAAAGACCCCTAGTAGGCTGCCGGTACTGGAGGAGCTAGTCAGGTCCAGATTCCCATTGCCCTTCTCAGACAGCTCTTCCTCAATCAAGTTGGTCTCGAGTTCGTCGACTTTGCAGAGGGAGGAGCTTAGAGGGTCGTCACCCATAATGAACTCCACAGGGGCCTCGGTGGAGCTGCGCTGGCCATTGAGGAGCCGCAGACGCTTACGCTCAATCTCGTGCTGGCGGAATTTGTCAATGCAGTCGTCGATCAGAGTGGAAGGGGCTTTCTTGTGGTTGACTGTCACTTTTCCACAGTAAAGCACTTCAAATTTTTGGGAGTTGTAAAAAGACTCATCACTGTCTTGCCTGGGCTTGCTTTCCTCCTTAAGAGCAGCCTTGGACACCTGTCTAATGCTGCTAATAACCTCAGGCACCTGGGGAACAATGTAAGCCATTAGATCAACAGTAAAAATACTAAATCAACACACTGAAAGGCGAACAAGGACAAAAAGTCCATAAAAAGGCTCAGTTGTTATGTTAAACTTTTGCAGGGAGACTTGCAGGTTGTGTAACTAACTATGTTCAGCCCCTGAGAAACAATTTAGGAGTCAGTAATACATAGGCCAAGGCAGACTGACGATATCAGAAAAAAGAAAATAAAGAAGAACCTGAGTGTGCATTAAAGAAGCCAAATGGATATGAATCTATCAGACAGGCCTCCTTTCTGGTATTTGATGCAACTGTTGATCATTTAGAATGAAACCTGAAGCTAGGAAAAGCAGATCTGTTTTTGTCTGCCTGAATATCATTATGAATCTTTTGAAACTAGGTGCAAGGGCATAGGTTTGGTTTAAACAGTTTTTGAAACTTTTTCAAATCGGTAACAGTATACATATCCAAACAAAATATGTAAATGAAAGATGAAATCCCTAATTCTATTTCTATGTATCTTAATGTTGTTCTTTACAGGATCTTACAGGCATGTTTCAAACAGCTGAGAAACTCAAATGTAACATTTTTTAAAATAAAACGGGGCTGGATTAAAAAAAATCATCAAGACATTTTTATATAGGATGTATTCTAAGAGGTTTGTAAGAATGTTCAGTAACTGCAGTTCTTGAAAAAAATCTTAAGACGTTCTTAAATATTTTATATAAGTACATCTTATTTTTTCTAAAGTTTAAGATTTAAGACACAGTGGACACTGTCCTAAATTTAAAAGGATATTAACACACCTTTTTTTTCAGAAAATTATTTTCAGAAATTCAAATTCTTTAACAAATGTAAAAAGAGGTGCTCTACCAACAGAAGAAGAGGTACAACCAAAAATCAAAAAACATATGAGCTGAACAAAGGTGCACAGTTTTACAGTCAGACCCAGATCTTTCTAAAACGTTTGAACATCCCCCATTTGTCACAGTGCGTGCGGGGAGATGAAGCGAGGACTCAATCGCTGGAGTAATGGTACTTTATTTTAGTCATAAAAAAATGAAACAAAAACAAACTCAAACCACCCCGAGGGGGAAAAACAGACAGGCAGAGCTAAAGCTGCACACATGCAGACACGAAACACACACAATGAGAAATGACGGCTCAGCACAGGACGGCAGACACAAGGAGAATAAATAGGAACCAAACGAGGAGGCTAACGAGGGAGACACAGGTGGAGCAACTAAAACAATAACGAGGTAACAAGATGGGAGGGGCCAGACAATAGACAGGAGAGAGCACATGGCAACAGACAAACACAACACAAGCCATGTGCTCCCAGAACACAGTCATCTGGTGGCCCTCCTGGGCACACCGGCTGAAGACTGTGACACCATTGATTTCATTTCGCAGAGCAAAGCATCTGAAAAACTTTTTTGTTAAGGCTGATATATGCAAAAGTCCCTCAAAGCCTCCACCATTTATAATTCTAAATGTGGAAATTGCACTCCGTGCCAGTTCACTAAAAGGTTAAAATATTTTTCACATCCTAGAACAGGTAAAAATATATGTATAAAAAGTGTCTTCACATGTAATTCATGTAACGTTATTTATGCTATACGTTGTCCATGTGGATTGTTGTACGTGGGTGAAACATCAAGAGAATTGAGAACCCGCATTTGCGAACATCGTAGTGCCATTAGACGTGGGGATTTTTACTTTGGCATCGAGCAAATCCATTCAGCAGGTCAGGGAGGAGATATTGATGTGAAGCGCAAATCCAGAGAAACCTTTTGGAATTTTACTTTAAACACATTGTTTCCCAAAGATTTTAATCAAGAAATTGATTATAGTTTTTGAGAAAAGTACTTTTTCTTTATATGGATACTTATGTTAAGCTTGTATCTTTGATTTTTTTTTTTTTTGACAATTGATTTGAAGCTTGTTTCATTGAGCCTATTTATATTTTCTTTAAAGTTTGATATTAAACTTGTATTTTTCTTTTTTTCTCTCCCTAATCCTATTAGGAAACTACTTCTCAAACAGTACAATTAGTGGAGTTGCACACCTGTTGGTGATTATCAGACTGCACATAACTGTGTGAGATTGTTACTCTTGTCATCTGATGAAGGCCTTGGACGGCCGAAACTTCATGTTGTTCTATTAATAAAGCTTGAACTTTGAAGAGTGAGTGTTGCACCTTTGTTCAGCTCACAGGAATTCAAATTCACCTTATTTTTTGTCTCCACAACAATATTGAGAAAACAGATAAGTTTTCTGTTGGTATGATGTTCTTTTCTGAAATGCAGTGTTACTTTTATGTCAGACGTAATGGGACACACACCTTCCAAAAAGTTCAACTTTTGTCTCATCAGTCCACAGAGTATTTTCCCAAAAGTCTTGGGGATCATCAAGATGTTTTCTGGCAAAACTGAGACGAGCCTTTATGTTCTTTTTGCTCAGCAGCGGTTTTCGTCTTGGAACTCTGCCATGCAGACCATTTTTGCCCAGTCTCTTTCTTATGGTGGAGTCATGAACACTGACCTTAACTGGGGCAAGTGAGGCCTGCAGTTCTTTGGATGTTGTTGTGGGGTCTTTTGTGACCTCTTGGATGAGTCGTTGCTGTGCTCTTGGGGTAATTTTGGTCGGTCGGCCACTCCTGGGAAGGTTCTCCACTGTTCCATGTTTTTGCCATTTGTGAATAATGGCTCTCATTGTGGTTCGCTGGAGTCCCAAAGCTTTAGAAATGGCTTTATAACCTTTTCCAGACTGATAGATCTCAATTACTTTCTTTCTCATTTGTTTCTGAATTTCTTTGGATCTCGGCATGATGTCTAGCTTTTGAGGATATTTTGGTCTACTTCACTTTGTCAGGCAGGTCCTATTTAAGAGATTTCTTGATTGCGAACAGGTGTGGCAGTAATCAGGCCTGGGTGTGGCTAGATAAATTGAACTCAGGTGTGATAAACCACAGTTTGAACAGGGGTGCAAACACTTCTTCACACAGTGCCATGTAGTTTTGGATTTAGTTTTCCCTTAATAATAAAAACCTTCATTTAAAAACTGCATGTTGTGTTTACTTGTGTTATCTTTGACAAATATTTAAATTTGTTTGATGATCTGAAACATTCAAGTGTAACCAACATGCAAAAAAATAAGAAATCAGGAAGGGGGCCAACACTTTTTCACACCACTGTAAGTTTGGAAAACTTGAGATTCTAATTTGCTGTTTTGATGTGGCTCCACAGAACAATAAAGAAATTGTGATTTACAGCAGTTTGGATTCAGAACTCAAGCAGCATTTAGATAATTTCCATAAAACAACCCCTGCACAGTCACAAGCTAGACAGAATCCATTGAAACGCTTAACTGCAATTATTACAGGAAACAAAATACTTAATTTTACAAATAAAAAAAATGACTAATTACATTCAGTAGCTTTATTAAGCCACAGCTGGGATCAATAGAATTATTGGCAGGGATTATTCAGTAGCCTCTTAACTTTGGTAGAGCCATGTCCCTACTGTCCATACTCAAATCCACATTCATGCTTTTGGGTTAAAAACTGGTATATTAATTGGCTGCGAATGTCAGATATACCTCAAAATATACTATGTCCATGACCTCTTGTGCCTTTGCTTGGCTCCGAAAAGTTCTGCCATGTCTCTTCGGCTCAAGTTTGTACAAGCTTATGGCAATGTTAAATAAAACTGATTTATCAGCAAGACACGTCATGTTGAGAGAATACTAAAATGAATTGGGCCTAGTGCCAGCAAGACTCAGAGGTGAAATGAAATGAAGTTCCACAGACTTTAAACCGACACTAGGCCCGCTCAGACTAGACTGGAAGAGCATGCTTGGCTGGCCTGATCTACACGACTACCATAAGCCTGGTATATGATTCAATTCTGAGACTCTACATAAACTGAAAACAAATAGAAGTAGAGATTCATGATGCTTTAAAAAAAAATCTGCTAAAGCAAAAAAACAGTTTCAGTCAAACGAAGGTGACATTTCCTTAAAAGTAAGACACGCCAAGCTCTGAGACACATTAGCATGTTGCAAAGTGCACATAGAGCACAAAGCAGTAGTGTGAACAAGAATCCAGTCGATATAAAAAAATCTTCCAGGAACAAAAGCCTTGTAATGACCACAGAGTACTTGCATAAAAATACAAGACGTCATACCAAGGTCACACGGATGACTTGTTCAAGGCAGTAATAGAGAGTAAGCCAAACATAACTGCACGCTGTGCAAACTGGTCTATCTTTACAAAGATAAACACAGGTATGTTTGACAAATGTGCTGAAACCTCTGAAAACTTTCACATTAGAGGCAAACATCTGCATCGGACATTTGACATTTTGCTTTCCCAAGTCACCTATAATATAAATCATCTTTTCTATGAGCTCTCAGGTACAACAAACACCTATCCCACCATTTTACATTTCAGCACATAACCCATTATTTAAGATGTGGCTTGTTGAGTAGAGGTGTGCTATTACTTTTCAAAGCAATCAGATTTACAACTTTCACCTATAGCTGACCATAAAGAGAGTGCAAAAAACAGGAGGGACCTGAAGTTATAAATAGAACCAGAATTTCAGAGACTTGAGGCTGGAGAATGTAACCATCCAGAAAACCCTATAAAAGCACATTAAAGTCCACTCAGAATTCCTTAGCAACCGTATAGCAACACACTGGCAACCACCCAGAACAGGCCAGCATTGTAGCAGCAAGTTCTGCATGGGCAGGCAGCACTTTTCTTTACTTTGCATTTGGTTTTATGCTATTATTGCAGGATCTTTAAAGCGAGTGTGGAGTAAAAATAAAGACACCCCAGACCTTTTCTGTCCACTGCACATCTCTCAGTAAATATGGCTCAGTTTAATGCAAACATTTCATTAAAACTCCCAAGGCAAACTTGTGGAAAATCACAGTGCAGCAGGGAGAAAAGGCTCCTTGAGATCAGGAGGAAAAGCAAACAATCATTCGAGTAATCGTCTGCTGCAAATGGCCTGCCTGTGTAAGCAGCACAAAGGGTGTGGCTGCTTTCAACTGACAAATGACTTATTTCCCAGGAACACTCAGAGATTTCCAAAAAGTTCCTTTTTTGGAAAAGGAATAATCTGCAAAAAGCTGATTTTTTTTATCTAATAGCAAAAAGGCAGAGAAAAAAGCATGTCACATTTGCAGGAAACTTCAGTGACCTCACCAGAAATCGTTGATTTCTGGTGGGGTTTAAAACCAATGTTTTAAACCCCTAAATAGTCTGAATTATTTAATTGCAAGATGACACTAGAACCCCATTTAGTCTAATGAATTATTTGCACTGAAACAAATATGCAAGGATGAAAGTAAGAGAGTGTGAATTACAAAAGCTGTAAACACAGTTTATTATACTTTTCATTAACATTTCCCTCCCATTTGCGTTTCCTGCATCCATCTGTACCAATAGAAAAATCTGTGTCGTTGTATTACATGACAGAAAATCAAATGCAAGACATTTTTAGAAAAACTTGGTTCACTTTCCTTAGCAATATTTGCCTTTTTAACCAACTGGTGTCAAGGGCTTTTAGTGATTAGATTACTGATTATTGTTTAATCAACACTATAACTAAATAGCATTGTGTATTTGTCCCATATGTATGATTATTATTATGATCATTACTTAATTTGTGTTATATGCAACTGCACTATCTGTGACTGGATTGGGCAAATGTCCAATGTCCACTTAATTGTTACTTTGTAATGAGCATTTGGTGTACCTTGTAAAGTGTCCTTGGGAAAGGCGCTATATAAATTAAACATTATTATTATTCATATCTACAGTAGAATTTAAAACAAACTGCTGTTGTGAAGCATTCTGATGTTTACAGATAAATGCCACTAGGGTTTATATGATGTAACCAAATGCAATGACATTCATACATTTTTAAGTGCAGATAATTGTTCAAACACTAGTGTAAAGCTTTTTAAGACATGTATGACACAGAGACTTGAAACCAGCTGAGGAAAATTAAACCTCTTTGATTTATGCATCAAAGCTGTGAGATGATTAATAGTTTAAACTGATTATTTTGCATGTTCTCTTTTAACACAAAGAACTGTGATGAGGAAATCCTGCTTTTCATTAAAAATTTATGAAATTCAAATGCACTGATTAGTGCTTCTGACCTCCTATTTCACAAGATAATTACCATTTTTGCTTTTGTGATTTAAAGAATGTGGAAAATTTCATCAATGTGCTGCTGTGACCTTACTCCTCATGTTTAAAGGGACGATAGGAATGCTTTAGAATGCTGTTTAAAAACCAAGATATTAAATGCAAATAGCAGTGGAGTCTTCTCAGAAACTTACCAGTCAAGCCACAAAAAAAAAAGAGTGAAATCTGAGAAAAGAGCACAGAAATATGGCACATGTTTCAAGCAGGTTCACAATTTATTTATAAGGAATTTCTAAAAATCACTATTTAAAGACAGGTTTGGTTATGAAATACTACAATGGATGTTATTCTACGCTTTATATTCAGTCTGGCAGGGCCCATGGTCAAGCTTCATTCAAACTCAACTGAATTGTAAATCAGAGGTTCTTAAAGTTTTTGATGACATGGACCCCAAAATATGAAGCTACCCATGCATAGGAACCCCTTCATAAAATATAAAAGCAGCTACATATTTTCATGTGACAACACATTTATACTATGTGATTTCTATGTGAAAAATTATTTTTCCACCACACTGCTAAAAACTGCTGTCAAAAGAAAAAAAAGAATAAAGTAATCCTCTGAGTTCTGACCAGTCATTAGAAAGCAGAATGAAATAGAAATATTTTCAAACTTGGTGAATGCAAACATAAACAAAAATGATAAATTTATCATTTATAAATGTTTCATTAAAAAAAGTACACAAATTATCTTTGACAGTCCCAAAAAAATACTGCAGAAAATCTTTTTATTTCTCTCAAATTTTTGTGAACCCCAGCACACCCTAGTTTGAAACAGTACCAAAATACAATTCACACTAGGACAAGACATGAGGAAACTCAAATCACCGGTTACGTCCTGTACTGGATGTAGATTGGCATGGCATGAGTCGTTCTAATTATTTTTTACTAGGAAGACCAACTACAAGGTATCCAGGCCAGTTGGATAAAGTGGGACACTGTACTATATTCTGAAACTCTGACTTATAAGAATAAGTGGGTTATATCCTGTGCAACATTGATTTTAATTCATACTTTGATGATCGCTCCAAACTGCAAAGCAAACAGCCCCATCTTAAAATGCATAAACAATGAACAAAATGCATCAGAGGGACCCCAGCCATTTTTCTTGCCCACAGCATAATCAACGCTTAATCACAGATAATGCTTTCCTTTCAGTTCTATCAGTAAAATGAGGCCAGGCATCTGCGTACATATTATATCATTATGAAAGGAAACATAACCTTACTTTGTTGCCTTACACTGGGTGGGCTATTCCACACTGAAAGTGGAGTTATAAATAAGGGACCAGTGGGTTCCCCCACAGCATTAAAAGTTGAACTATATTACTCCACAGGCATCTGGAAAGGATTGATCAGGCTGAATTAGGAGCAGGAGATATTTATATAGCAAAGTGCCAGCCGAGTCAGTCTCTGAACACTGGACAGACTAGTGCATGGTAGCACTTCGAAATGAGCCAGCAGCCTTCTTAAGACTTGAGCTAAAACTCATTCCTCATGGACCATCTAGCACGTGTTTCTATCCAACCTGTGTTTCTTGCAAAACACATGACGGTGATGTATGTTGCCTCTGGAGTTCAACATGCACTCACAGGACGCCGAAACTTTCCCTTCCACTTCTAAGCAATTTTACCTCTGAGAACGTATAACAATAGTACAAATAGCATAAATAATGTGGCAAGTGCAAAGAAAGGGATTAATTTTCAACTAAAATTCACAGAGCACCCAAAAAATATATGCTTGTAAATGTGTTAGAAAAAAATGCATAGCAAATCATTGCACATATATATGTTTAAATCCATGTTTCACTCAAAGCAACAAAGTGTATTGAACAGGCATCTCAAATATAGCTCAGCAGCAGACTCAAATTAGGGTTACATTACAACTAATCTCTAATCAATACCATGGAATAGAGAACTCAAATGTAAGTGCAGTGCATCACAGTTATTATTGTTGTTTCAAGGCAGTATGACAGCAAACAGAGGAGCGGGAGGGGGGATTTCAATATCCTATGTGTGTATTGTTTAGCTGATCTGATTAATCCTTCTTTTGCCAGGAGAGATCTGACCCGTCTTTACATGATGCTCTGTAAATCTAATTCATCTGGTGCAACGGTGCCCTACATACTGGCATTTATCCAACTTACAAAGACCTGTCAATCATACAGCAGACTAAACCTCAGGGTGCACTGGCATTGTGAAAGTTTGGTGCATGGTGCATTAGAATAACAGGTGGGGGTTCAAAGGAATGAAGATTGCTTTTTTCCCTAATGTGTCCGTTTATATATATATATATATACAGTGGGTACGGAAAGTATTCAGATCCCCTTAAATTTTTCACTCTTTGTTATATTGCAGCCATTTGCTAAATTGCTAAAAGTTAATTTTTTTTTTCCTCATTAATGTACACACAGCACCCCATATTGGGGTGCTGTATGTACATTAATGAGGGAAAAAAATAACTTAAATGATTTTAGCAAATGGCTGCAATATAACAAAGAGTGAAAAATTTAAGGGGGTCTGAATACTTTCCGTACCCACTGCATATACACACACACACACACACCATGTATCATACTGCTATTTTGTCTATGTACATGTGACCCTCTAAAAAAATACTTTAGTAATTAGTATAATAGTAATTTGCTGCTTAACTTTGTCATGGTGCAGGGGATGGATGGATGGATGGATAGATAGACTCTAATCCAAACCCCAGAAAAGGTTGACTCTTAAACTATAACTGTGTTTTTGATCAATATATTTAACAGACTGAACAGCTGAACGAGTGGCCTTACATACCTTGTTTGGATCACATGCTTTAAACACATGGCATGCCATCTCAGACTCTGGGTTATCGGGTTGACTTCTGATAAGGTAGGCAAAATAAGACAGGTCATGGCTATTGTGGATAAACCTGGATATAAACTGTGCTTTGTGCTCGAATATGAACACGGACGGGTTGCTGCTGTTTGCTGGCACGCAGCGGATCAGAGGGGGCGAGAGATACAGCTGAACTTCTCTGGCCTGTGCGGGACCGGACTCGTTCTTCTCACTTTTCCTCCGGATCTCCGCCACCAGCCAGGGCAGCATGGGCAGCGTGGTCCGCCTGTCCAGAGATGACCAGCCCATGTACCAAAGAGCAAACCTATTGTCTGCCTTTTGATTACTGTCATTATTCCCTTTGCCATCCTGTCCCTCCATCTCTCCAAGGGCTCCGGGACAAAGACTTTAGTTGCTTTATGCAACAACTCAGTGCCTTTATACCGCCAAATGCCTAAATACTGCACGGGTCAGTAATGTGTGAAAGCAGCTGGAAACATCACTCACGCTTTTAGTCAAAAGTGCGCAAGGATCGTGTGTCCTGGAGATCTTAAGTACAAAACATAATGGCTTTTAAGTTGCAGCGATGATTTTAGCTTTTATTCCAAGGTAAAATCACTGTTTAAAGATTAAAAAAACATCCAATCAAAGGGTCTGAGGGCTGGAATAATCCATATATGAAGTTCGGCGATTCGCGTGCGTGTATCAATAGGCTACATAACTGTATCATACTGCTATTTTGTCTATGTACATGTGACCCTCTAAAAAAATACTTTAGTAATTAGTATAATAGTAATTTGCTGCTTAACTTTGTCATGGTGCAGGGGATGGATGGATGAATGGATGGATGGATGGATAGATAGACTCTAATCCAAACCCCAGAAAAGGTTGACTCTTAAACTATAACTGTGTTTTTGATCAATATATTTAACAGACTGAACAGCTGAACGAGTGGCCTTACATACCTTGTTTGGATCACATGCTTTGAACACATGGCATGCCATCTCAGACTCTGGGTTATCGGGTTGACTTCTGATAAGGTAGGCAAAATAAGACATGTCATGGCTATTGTGGATAAACCTGGATATAAACTGTGCTTTGTGCTCGAATATGAACACGGACGGGTTGCTGCTGTTTGCTGGCACGCAGCGGATCAGAGGGGGCGAGAGATACAGCTGAACTTCTCTGGCCTGTGCGGGACCGGACTCGTTCTTCTCACTTTTCCTCCGGATCTCCGCCACCAGCCAGGGCAGCATGGGCAGCGTGGTCCGCCTGTCCAGAGATGACCAGCCCATGTACCAGAGCGCAAACCTATTGTCTGCCTTTTGATTACTGTCATGATTCCCTTTGCCATCCTGTCCCTCCATCTCTCCAAGGGCTCCGGGACAAAGACTTTAGTTGCTTTATGCAACAACTCAGTGCCTTTATATCACTAAATGCCTAAATAAATACATGCACGGGTCAGTATTGTGTGCAAGCAGCTGGAAACATCTCCTGGCGCGTTAATGGTACATGGATCACTCACGCTTTAGTCAGAAGTGCGCAAGGATCGTGTGTCCCGGAGAGCTTAAGTACAATAATAATGTCTTTTAAGATTCAGCAAAGATTTTAGCTTTTATTCCAAGGTCAGATCAATGTTTAAAGATAAAAATATCCATTCAAAGGGTCTGAGGGCTCGAATAATCCATATATAAAGTTAGACGGATACAATATTCAACGGCGCCCACTGCTGTCTCTCAAAGCTATAATTGATTTTGATGGAATGCTGTGGACATATTTCGAATCAAATACTAACATACTGCATATAGTATGTAGTATAAAATGTAAACTGTGAACCCTTTCATTCAAAGACAGTGGCTGAATTCGAAAAACATGCTACCACTGCTCTTACTATTTCTGCAATAATATTCTATAGAATTAGTAGTATAATGTAGAAATAGTAAGAGTAGTATGCTATTTAGAAGTGCACAACCTGGATGTTGCACGAGCTCTCACTTAAAGAGACAATTCTTTTCAAGCTGTAAATATCATGTTATCAATTACTCTTGTAGAAAACCTGACACCAGACAAAGAAAAACCTTTAACACCTTATTTAACGCTCCTAAGAGCTATTTTAAATAATGATTGTATTGTCATTTTTATTTAACCTGAAAATAAAACTACTTGTAATGACCATTAGTGGAGAAACTTGCTTTTACTCATATATAGATGATAGATCTACCAGCAGAAGCAGCCAGCCAGTGACCTCTGGATTTAAATCCAGTTAATTAGTCAAACTGGAGGTCAAGCAAGTTGCTTTGTGGGATACAGCATACTGCACACAGTATACATACTATATTGTATACTGCAGAAACATCTTCTGTCATTTGAACCATTGTAACCATTATTTTTAAGTATGAAGTATGTTCATTCAAGTTAATACATTTTATTAAATATAACGATTGACAAAAAAATTATAAGATATCAGATTCAGAAATTCAGGCCAACTGAGCACCTGCATAATAATTTGCATAATGTTTATGTATGTTTTCATGTAAGGATAAGCTGTTGAATTAAATAGAAATGAAAACACTTTTTTAAAGAGTTCTCTCATGTATACAATGGCGCCGACGCTGATGGCTGCCTCCGTGGCGTGCTCTGCAGTTGTTTTTATGTTTTTGTTAGTTTGTCCTGTCTTTAGTTATATCCCTGCAATCAGTTTCACCAGAGACGAATTGCTGGACATTCGGAAGTACACACCACCCGATATTTCACCGGTTTTCGACTATTCGGATGTTTTGCTGGACATTGTTGTCGGGGGAGCTGCCTGTACATACAATTGTCGATTTGTATATTTTTATTCCTTAGTTACTTGTTCTATTTTTCTATTTTTTATTATCTGTGTTTTTGTTCTGTCACTGTCATTCTGTTACACTGTGGAGCTTCTGTCATGAAAACAAATTCCTCGTATGTGTAAACATACCTGGCAATAAAAACTCATTCTGATTCTGATTACTGTTGTTGTCTTCGATTGTTTAGCAAGTGCCCAGCTTAAAACAAGATGCTAAATAAGAAGCACCACTCCCAGAAATAGATGAACATGAGATACATGTAAATGTAACCCGTCAAGAGACCTACTGTAGCCCATCATCATATACAGCCTGTAAGAGTTTCTTTCTAGGCATGGGTTTCAGGCATTCAGAAAGTATTCATCAGCACCCTTAGATTTTTTTCTCTCTTTTGCTGTTACAAATTCAAATATATTTAAATGGGATCTTTCAGCCCAAACAAAAAACAGCAGATCAGCCCTGCAGTGAAGTCAACAGAGCTGCTAAAATCAGATTTTAAAAAATTTAAAAAGGCAGAAGCCAGACACTACAAAAACCAGGTCATCTTATCAAATTTTGGACAAAACCAAATCCAACATCATCCCAACTGTTAAGCATTGTGATCAGGTGCAACACATTGAAAAGTACTAGAAACAAAATACAAAATATTAATTCAGTGAATGTTTTTATTAATGAAAAAGAGTGTTTTCCACTCTAAAGAAATTCATGTTCTTGAGCATCTCATAAGTGTTATTTGTTCTTTGATAGTGGAAAAACAATTAGAGGTGTAACAGGGACCAAATTCATGGTTCCTAAAGGCACTAAAGACAATAATGAAGATCGATAAATGAAAAATGGAAATTTATGATGACCCACAGAGGGGGAAAAACAGGAAATCTAACATTTTCTAAGAATACCATTATTTATTATGATAAAATAAAATGTTAACCTTGTAGCTACTGTAACAGTAGAACTGTAACAGTTTGCTCCCGCAAACATTCTAACATTGCATATGATTTTCACGCATCAGGGGGCCACCATCAATATGCGGAGTATTTAAATCTCTGTTGAATGAACTCTCGCTGTTCACTTTCACGATCACATGCGCTCTTTGTAAAGCAAGATCAGATATTTGTCAATGAGCTCAGGATCTGTTGAGCAGCAAATCCTCCAGCATGGTATGTCAGCAATCTCTCCTCTCAGCCCGTGATCAGTGAAATCTGACTCCCGCAGCTCGTGTTGGATGCAGGGTTGTCAAGTCCGCGTTTTTCCCTACTTTTAAACTGTTGCCATGGATTGATTTCCCCTGTGGGTTAAAGGTTTGAAATGTTGCAAAAATTAAATTTGACTGAAATGCTGGTATTGAAACATTTTGCATTCTACCCAGAGCCGTCACTACTGGGGTGAAAGGTGGTGACCAGGGGCCCACGGCTGTGTCGGTGTCCTTAATGTTAATCCAAGAAAATCACTCACTGCTCTTGACTGAATAAATGTTTAGTTTTTACAACTAATCTATATTTAATTTATACAGTGAAGACTATGCAGTGCTATTTTACATTTGATTATTCGGTTTCTGTACCTGAATACCTACAAACTTGAAAAAACTAAACATTGTTTAATTTCTATATTTGTTCTACACTGAACAAAATTATAAAAGCAACACTTTTGTTTTTGCCCCCATTTTTCATGAGCTGAACTCAAAGATTTAAGACTTTTTCTATGTACACAAAAGGCCTATTTCTCTCAAATATTGTTCACAAATCTGTCTAAATCTGTGTTAGTGAGCACTTCTCCTTTGCCGAGATAATCCATCCACCTCACAGGTGTGGCATATCAAGATGCTGATTAGACAGCATGATTATTGCACAGGTGTGCCTTAGGCTGGCCACAATAAAAGGCCACTCTAAAATGTGCAGTTTCACATACACATACATTCAAAATGCCATCAATAAAATGTACCTGTGTTCGTTGTCCATAACATATGCCTGCCCATACCATAACCCCACCGCTACCATGGGCCACTCGATCCACAACGTTGACATCAGGCAAAAACAAAAGTGTTGCGTTTATAATTTTGTTCAGTGTATTTATTTATTTGTGCTGTTTACATGATTTCAAACAGGGCCCATGAGTACAACCTGCACCGAGGCCCCGCAAACCCCAGCTACGGCCGATTCTACCCATGATAAAACTGTACTATATGATAAGTTTTGTGAAGGAGGGCCACTGGTGGGAAGCTTTTTAGCTGTGTTTATGATCAATATGCATAACAGTGACTGTAAAATCTATTTTAGGTATGAAAATGACATATTCTGAGTTTAGATATTTGGGATTGTGCTACATACGGCGCTTTCAGCATTACTTTAACCACCAAACAACCACACATGTTGCAGCCCCCCGCTTCGCCCCACCGCACCCACTGTCCTCTTTTTGGAAAACTAAAATATGGTCACCCTATTTTTAATTCACATACATTTACTTTAATGACGTTTTGTCCTCAAAAAATAACACTGTACCTAAAATAGTATGACATGAGTCTTATAATAGCTTGAACAGTTTTCTGATCAAGGTTTATCCCAGCTCTTTGAAATTTCTGTGTTAGGGAAATAAAAACATTGCAAAGACATAAAAAGCAGGTACATGCATGCTTAATTTACAGCATATTTACAGGGATTTAATTTTGTGAACTTGCATCACAGGTTTCAATCAAATCTACTGCTCTGTTCTGATCCTGAAGATGAACCAGGATTGACTGAAGCTGGAAAAAGAAAAGACGATTATCAGAACAGTCATAAACACTTAAAAACAGGACATTCAGTAAATAACTATGATAATATGTCAAAATTATCTGTAAGTGTGACGTGTTGCATTTTTCGTAGCACAAACGTGCAATGCTTTTCTTCCCATTGTACATGACCACAATGTAATGACACATCTTACCGTTTCTGCAAACAAGTCTATGGGGAGTTTTTCGACCACACCATCCACACCTGCAATAAATAAATAAAAAATCTCACCGCTAATCAGGATTATATCATTTATTAATGTTAGGACATATCGATGTATTATGTTCTGTGCAGAAAATCACCCAGTAATATACTGCATATGATTTATATATTAATATCTGTATATAAGGTTAATTCTGACTTGCACAGAACGGGACTTTGCCCTTTATATTTGCAAGAAAAATAGTAACAGATTCTAACTGTTACTCACCAGTTGACAGATCCATTCCTAACATCTTCGACAACTATGGCAATATTTACTATAAGGCTACTGCATTCATGTTAAAAGCGAGTCTGTTTTAAAGCATCGACCAATTACTTTAGTCCAGTACTGTTTATAAAATTTACTTCTAAGCAGTTTCAGACCGGAAGTGAAAGATCTTGAGATTTCCTTTCAAAATAATAGTAAGACAATAGGTTGGTGCTAGGTATCTGTCGGTGTTATGAAGAAATAATCCAGAAAAGTGAAAAGGAATAACTGAACGAAATAATTGTACAAAAAGGGTTATCCAAGGTGTATCTTGGATATCCAAAGCGCATTCTCAATAAATCCATACATAAGTTTTAATGTGACAATAAATCCAGTTTAAAGTACAAGTATCCAGTCATTCTCTTCTCTAGTGTAATCTCTTAAAATGCCAAAAAGTCTAAAATACTTTTTTTGTTTGACATCTTCAATACTCATGAGTTAATCACTGTCATCAAAACCTAATAATTGTCATCAAATATTTTATTTTTAATTTTTAAAAATATCAAGAGTTACTCCATTTGACCTGATATGTGCTTTTTCATTAAAAAAAGACAAAAATGTCCTTTTAAAAAAAATAACTGAAAGACTAGTATATCGTTAAACAAATAATACATTACATAAATGCAAATCTAATTATTATGGTATAATCATATTGTAGATATGTAAAGTTTGAGCTCTTATTTTGAACAGTCCTATCCGTCGGTCCTGCCGGATATCGGAGTCACACCTCTGGAATACAACATTCAAAAACAAGTTGGAAATGGAAGGAAAAACTTTGGAAGTAGGAAGGAGGACACAATAATATCTAGACTCCGTATCGGTCACACAGCTCTTAATCAATCATTATTTATTATTGGTAAACATGAATCAGGTAATTGCAATAATTGTGGTATACCAGACTGTGGAACATATCCTATTACATTGTGAAGCATATGAAAGAGAAAGAATGCGATTAATAGAAGAATTAAGTTTGTTGAATATTGAAAGAATTACAATTAAGACAATACTTGAGTATGCTTCAGCACAGTATAAAGTCTATAATGCAATTATTAATTATTTGAAAGCAATAGGTTTAATAAATAGAATTTGAAGATCACATAATGAAGTATATAAAATAATTGTATACTTTTGTAATACTCCTTTGGTCAAACTAAAGGTTATTAGAATTTTTTTTTTTTTTTATATATATATATATATATATATGCTGTCACCAATATTCGTCATGCTCCACACTCCAGTCCAGTAGGTGGCGGAAATGCACCTTTTAAGTGGGTTTGCCAACCGCCATTAAAAAGAAAAGAAGAAGAAGTCACACCTCTGGAAGTTTTGGATCGTCGCGGGTTTATGAAGGATGGCTGTGCAAACTGAGAGAGGAGTCCCGCTCAGCGCGGTATGCATGTTTAACCTACTTCTTTTGCTGACATGTGTAATTAACGCGTGGTAGTAGACACCATGCTAATGATAATAGATATATTGAAAAGTTTATACGTAATAACTTCTCGCACTGTTAGCATGCCATTGACAGGCTGACGAAATATGTCATCTTAAATAATGTATGTGTTTGCTGTTAACAAAGAACAACATATATTTTCACAATGTGTGGAAAACAGTATGTGATTGTTTAATGTCGTGATCATGTATGTGTTCGTCGTCCTATCAGAAAGGCTAAAAAATCGGATATTACTTTTAGTTTCGTTTCTCTGTTGAATGAGTTTGAATCCAGTTATGTATTCGTTCCGCTTTAAAGATGCGACGCACGATTGTTTTAAACTTTGTGCGCTAATAGTCCTTCGCACCTATGTGACTCTTATTTAATGTAAATCTTATAAAGAATGTGCTATTCTTCAAACTTTCTGTTGGAGTAGTCCAGTATTCTGTGTAAATTAATCTTTACGTTCTGTGTAAATGATCCTTTATGTAGTGAAAGAAATTTAACACACCCTTGAAAATGAACATTAAAATGCAGACTTTGTTAAGAGCCTGGTCCACTTTAGAAATCTGGAATTGGACATTCTAATCAAAAGTAGAAATAGGGATGTGCAACATATCAACACTTACCAATAACCTCTGAGTTCCCGGTAGGCCTCTCATAAAAAGTGTATGCATTTTATATCAGTAAAAATGGTATCTATAGAAAAAGAAGAAAAAGTAAAAGATTTTACTTCTCTAGTGCTACTGTCTATTTATGTTGCTTTTTTAAAATTGCTGACATGTGTAATTAACGCGTGGTAGTAGACACCATGCTAATAAACCATGCTAATGATAATAGATATATTGAAAAGTTTATACGTAATAACTTCTCGCACTGTTAGCATGCCATTGACAGGCTGACGAAATATGTCATCTTAAATAATGTATGTGTTTGCTGTTAACAAAGAACAACATGTATTTTCACAATGTGTGGAAAACAGTATGTGATTGTTTAATGTCGTGATCATGTATGTGTTCGTCGTCCTATCAGAAAGGCTAAAAAATCGGATATTACTTTTAGTTTCGTTTCTCTGTTGAATGAGTTTGAATCCAGTTATGTATTCGTTCCGCTTTAAAGATGCGACGCACGATTGTTTTAAACTTTGTGCGCTAATAGTCCTTCGCACCTATGTGACTCTTATTTAATGTAAATCTTATAAAGAATGTGCTATTCTTCAAACTTTCTGTTGGAGTAGTCCAGTATTCTGTGTAAATTAATCTTTACGTTCTGTGTAAATGATCCTTTATGTAGTGAAAGAAATTTAACACACCCTTGAAAATGAACATTAAAATGCAGACTTTGTTAAGAGCCTGGTCCACTTTAGAAATCTGGAATTGGACATTCTAATCAAAAGTAGAAATAGGGATGTGCAACATATCAACACTTACCAATAACCTCTGAGTTCCCGGTAGGCCTCTCATAAAAAGTGTATGCATTTTATATCAGTAAAAATGGTATCTATAGAAAAAGAAGAAAAAGTAAAAGATTTTACTTCTCTAGTGCTACTGTCTATTTATGTTGCTTTTTTAAAAAACAGCTTTGAACAAGTCTCTTCGAAATGTTATATGATTTTTTTATGAAGTGTTTTAAGGAAAGATCCCGATTAAATAAATACCCTCATCAAATGTATGATAATAACTAATTAAATAAAACGTAGGTTCTTTTCAAACTCCAAACTAAAGAATTTTAAATGAAGCCAAAATGGGGGACAAACAAATAATGCCTGTTACACTTACATTCAAACCTGCAAACCGATAATATGAAGAAAACATTATATGTCAGATGGCGAGAACCACAGCTTTATAAAACAATGCATAGTTTCTTCAAATATATTTTTAGGGTTTTACTTATAAATTATCCTGTGTCTTTGATCCTTTTATAGCTTAATCCAAAGTTCCTTCACACCAACTCCACCAGCCACACCTGGCCCTTCAGTGCGATTGCAGAGCTGATAGGTAAGCGAACTCTTTTGATATCGCTGTTTGGAACAATGGATGTGTGCCCTCAAGTGTTAGATTACTATGGATTAGATTACTCCCCACGTAAAACATATCCCTGTCTATATTTCCAGTGCCTGATGACATTTAGTACTGTGTGTAATAAATGATGTGAGTAATTTTATTGCATCCCATGTATTGCTCAAAGACAGCTAGCCAGGGACAAGTAAGGAAATAAAAGACCTATATGTTGCATTAGTGTTCAGGGCTACCTCAGTAGAGAGCCACTCAAACTCAGATAAATATGTGTAATCTGATAATATTTTAAATGTATATGTTCTGCCTTAGACAATGCTTACGACCCAGATGTGAGTGCCAAACAGTTTTGGATTGATAAGACAGCAGTCAGAGGTCAAGACTGTCTGATTTTCATGGATAATGGAGCAGGAATGGATTATGATAAGATGTACAAAATGCTCAGGTGGGTAAGAACAATAAGTTGACAAACATACATTTGTGTTACATGATCCCCTAATAAATCATTATAATATGTTGATTTGGAACTCAAGAAACCTTTCTTATTTTAATTGTTGATTGTTAATTAAGTGTGGAAATCTTTGATGAACAGAAAGTTTGAAGAACAGCATTTATTAAAAAAAAAAAAAAAGAATGCTTTTGAAACATTATAAATGTGTTTTGTGAATATATATATATATACTAACCGTTGTTCAGTAAGATTTTTACATTTTTTAAGTCTCTTGCTGCATTTATTTGATAAAAAATACAGTAAAAATATTATAATTCCTTCAGAAATCATTCTCATTATCAGTTTTGCTGCATGTTATTTTTGTGGGAACGGTAATACATTTTTCAGGATTCTTTGATGAAAAGAAAGTTCAAAAGAACAGCATTTATTTAAAATAGAATTTTTTGTTTTGTCAAAGTTACTCAAGAAACCTTTCTTATTTTAATTGTTGATTGTTAATTAAGTGTGGAAATCTTTGATGAACAGAAAGTTTGAAGAACAGCATTTATAAAAAAAATTTAAAAAAAGAATGCTTTTGAAACATTATAAATGTGTTTTGTGAATATATATATATACTAACCGTTGTTCAGTAAGATTTTTACATTTTTTAAGTCTCTTGCTGCATTTATTTGATAAAAAATACAGTAAAAATATTATAATTCCTTCAGAAATCATTCTCATTATCAGTTTTGCTGCATGTTATTTTTGTGGGAACGGTAATACATTTTTCAGGATTCTTTGATGAAAAGAAAGTTCAAAAGAACAGCATTTATTTAAAATAGAATTTTTTGTTTTGTCAAAGTAAAATCTTTACTGTCACTTTTGATCAATTTAGGGCATCCTTTCTGAATAAAGGTATTCATTTATTTTGAAAACATTTTAATATATAATATATTGTGTTCCTCTCCCTTTCAGTTTTGGGTTCAGTGACAAGGAGACTATAAACGGCCATGTCCCTGTGGGCCTCTACGGCAATGGATTTAAGTCTGGTTCCATGCGCTTAGGTAAAGACACTATTGTGTTTTCCAAGAATGGAGAGTCCATGTGTGTGGGCCTTCTGTCCCAGACGTATCTTCAGGAGATGCACGCAGAGAATGTCGTGGTGCCTATTGTCTCATTTAAACGCATCGGCCAGGCATATATCCTTACCTTCCAAATAAGCAAAGACAAGTGGAGACCTAAATGGATGGACTACAAATATTTGGCATGATATAAAGAGATGAAGAGGGTATTAGAGAGATGACATTACATATATTAGGAGTCCAGTGACTGATGTCTCTTATAGTTGTGTCAGTTTTGGGAATAAGTTGTATTAGTTGTTTTTAGGTAAAAGTTTCACCACATATTTATGTTCTCAAATTGATGTCTTTATCCTTGACCTTTCCTCTCACTCCGACCCGAGTCACAACACGCAACAAGTCTTCAAGATATCCTGCGCTACTCTCTGTTCCAGACGGAGGAAGAGCTGCTCTGTGAGCTCAATGCCATCAATGCACTCTATGACACTGAATCCACAGGAACACGAATCATCATCTGGAACCTCCGCAAGTGAGCATGAAAAGATCATTCTAATGTAGTTTAGAGCAGTGTTTGGTACTGCTAGTGTCATACTCTTGAGCTACCAGGCCCAGGAATGCATAGATGACATGTTTTTTTTCTGCTACAGAACATCCACAGACAAATCTGAGTTTGACTTTGACACGGACCGCTATGACATCCAGATTCCATCTGAAGTATATGAGAGTGAAAAGGAGAAATACAAGCAGCAGTCTCGTGTATTTCAGTCAAGCCCAGAGAGCGACTTCTCTCTGCGGGTGAGTAATTCACCCTCCTGTGTTGAGAAGGTCTAACACAATACAGTGTACATAATGTATGACAGATATCACTTCATTATGCATTACAGTTTAAAGAACATAACAGTAATATGAGTCTGTATGCATGTTACCTTTTTGTAGGCGTACTGTAGCATCCTATACTTGAAGCCCAGAATGCAGATTATCATTCGTGGACAGAAAGTGAAAACCCAGCTGATCTCTAAAAGCCTGGCGCACATTGCCAAGGATAAATACAAACCCAACTTTCTAAATGTATCCACATAATCACAAAGGAGCGAGCTGTAATTTCCTGTTTCCCAAAGAAAGCCTTATACATTGTGATAACTATTGTAAATTTTGTTAGTGGAAAATTACGTTTTAAAATTAAGGTGTTAAGTTATAAAGAAAGACAGAAGAATTAGTTTTTTGAACATGAAAGCATTTTGACATAAACCCAGGTGTTCATTTTATGAATTTATGGCTCAAAATATTATAATTACAAAAAAACACCCAGTGACACAATCAGATAATTAAACTAATTTCTCGGCAGAATACAGGCCTAAATTGGCCAACCAACTCAATTAATAAATACATAGTGAGTTTTCCTTAAGTAATTTCTTCTCAGAGAGAAAGCATTACTATCACATTTGGCTACAACACCAAGACCAAAGAACATTACGGAGTCATGATGTACCATAAAAACAGGCTCATCAAAGCCTATGAACGTGTTGGATGTCAAAACAAGGTGATTATTTAAATTTGGAATCAATTAATTCTTTAATTTATGTATTTATTTATTTATTTTTGTCAAAACACCCCCTCTGCCACTTTCTTTAATGTAAGTAATGTTTTATAGTTTATTACTTTTACTATTTAGAGTATCTGAATGCAATTTCAATCTTGATTTTGCCTTAGGCAAATGAAAAAGGAGTGGGAGTCATTGCAGTGATAGAGTGCAACTTCCTCAAGCCAACACACAACAAGCAGGACTTTGACTACTCAGAAGAGTACAGGTGAGCGTGATACTGTACAGGTGGATTGTAACGTAAGTGTAGAATATTGTAAGTTTAAGTTTAGAATTACAGGGGTGTCAAACTCCGCTCCTGGAGGACCACTGACATGCAGAGGTTAGTTCAAACCCTAATTAAACACACCTGATCCAGCTAATATTGTGTTGTGTTTGAAAGTGCCCCCTATGCCCACTGTGGTTTCAGACATCACTACAAATGGCTGTCCCTTCAAATAGTGCCGTATTTAAGGGTATAGGGGGCGATTTCAAACACAGCCTAGAGTGCTAGAAACCCAGGCATGTGTGTTGGAGTTGGTTGATGCTACAATCTGCAGTGGACCTCCAGAAGTTAGTGTGTGTGTATATATATATATATATATATATACTGTCCAGACCAAATATATACATGTTAACTGTATAACAAGTACATGTTAAATGCTAACTGTATAACAAGTATTTGCGTTTAAATAGTTTTGTCTAATTATGAATATTTTATTTTGTGAGAACATTTGCTATTCATCAGCGTTTGATTTTTGATGAGGCAGGCAGTGTTACAAACAATTCAGGTAATTACATGAATTGCCCGAACCCTTAAGTTAAGTTCTGTTCTCATACTGGACTAACTAATTGAACAAGCTTTTCTGTTTGATTTAGTAATAACTAATTTTACAAGTTTTCAGGAGCAAATTTTGTTTTCTAACACAGGAAATCAATAATATACCAGTCTAAGCTGTTTATTTTTGTTCACGCAGGAGAACTATGAACACTTTGGGTGTGAAACTGGAAGAGTATTGGAAAGCGATCCGCCATAAGAAGGGATCAAACACTGCATTACCTATAGAGGATATCCCGTTAGTATACACTCACATACACCTTCAAAACATTTCATAGCCAGTTTATTCATCACATTTCCATATATAACCCTTGTTCCTTGTTTAACGTAAAGGAAGCGTCCTGATCAGAACTGGGTTGAGTGTGATGGCTGTATGAAATGGAGGAAACTTCCAGATGGCATTGACATGAATAAGCTCCCTGAAAAATGGTTCTGTCGATTGAATCCAGACCCCCTGTTCAGGTTTGTTTAATCAGACTTTTCATTGTATAGCTTTTAAAATGTTTAACTTCTAGCAGGACTCAAGCAAAAAGTTCCTAGGAGAATCGTATAAATATTTTACAGTTTGGCATATTTTTGTGCTTTTGCATTATCCATTAATATTGTCCAAAAAGTATACCTCTGCAAACCTTTGACAATGAAACGACAAAACCAATGAATTGCTTATCGAATTGAAATCATATTAGAAATATTAAAGTAATAATGAACAATGAAATTCAGTGTACTTGAGCAACAATTCATCAGAAGACACATAAATATTACATTAAATAACTGATAAAAAAAAGATACAACAGTTTTTATATCTACATAACTGTAGTATATTACAGTTATATTTAATTAGTCATAATTACAACCCCAATTCCAGAAAAGTTGGGACGTTTTGTAAAATGCAATAACATCAAGAATCTGTGATTTGTACATTTTCTTTAACTTTTATATAATTGACAAAAGTACAGAGAAAAGATTTCCAAAGTTGTCACTGACCAACTTAAATGTATTTTTGTAAATATAAACAAAGTTTGATTTTTGATGACTGCAACACACTCCAAAAAAGTTGGGACAGAGGCAAAATAAACGTGAAAAGGTTATAGAATATTCAAATTAAACTGCTTTGAAACAGTTCACAGTAAGCATGTGAACTGGTAATAGGTGGGGGTATCATGTTTGGGTATAAAAGGAGCATCTCAGTCTTTGGAAGCAAAGCTGGATCATGGCTCATCACTTCGTGCCAAATTTCATGAGAGAAGTGTCAAACAAATCAAAAATCTAATTTCTCAATGCAAAATCGCAAAGAATTTAGGTCTTTCACCAACTACCATACATAATATTGTGAAAAGATTCAGGGAATCCAGAGAAATCTCAGTCTATCGAGGGCATGGCAGGACATCTCAGTTGAATGTGCATGAGTCATGACCTTTGAGCCCTCAGATGGCACTGCATAAGAAACCGTCAGCCTTTCCCTTTTCCAACAAAACAACCTGTGACCGTCTTACTTTTTTTTTCCTCGTTGTTTACTGTACATCTTTGAACAGACATTTGGACAGATTTACTAACAGCTTGCACCAGCGCAAACCATCTTTTGGCGTTAAAATAGTACTGTCAGAATTTACCAAAGACACGCAGTGAAAAGGCATGGACAGTTATTTTTGCGCCTAACCTTATTGAATATGCATTTGTAGGAGTTTCCCTTTTAGACGCAAAATTTATGGGAGGAGAGTGTAAAAGTGAAACGTTTGCACTCATCAAATTACTGGTATTTGCTCCATTAATGCTCCAAAAAAGCATGTCTTAAAGCAGACACTAATTTGCGCTGCTCTTGCTAGATTGTGTTGGTCATTATGGAAATTATTTGGCTGCGTCTGTATTCTTTAATTTGCACATTATCAGTAAATCACCTGCAGAAATGTCCACTCCCATTAGCGTGTTTTTTTTTATTTTTTGGAATTGCACTCTCATGCTAATTTGCCCTGTTTAGTAAATCAGGCACATAATGTGTGAAAACACAGAAATGAATTTCAATGCATTTGAGCAATGTATCATTTGTCTAAACATGCAGTGAAGATTAGATATCAGTGATATTTATCAACAAATGTAATTTGTGTGTGTGTGTGTGTGTGTGTGCACGCACATGAAAATCTCTAAACATGTAGCTCAAACAGCTGTTCTTTCTACATCCAGGCGATGTGACCAACAAGAAGAAGCTGAAGATTCTGAAGATGAAACTACAGACTGCCTGAAAACATACAAACAGCAGTGAGTGGAAAAAATTTTACATCTATTTATTTATTTTGTTATCTGACTATGAATGAATAGACTCATTGTATTACCCAAGATATTAATAAGATAAGCCAGTGATTTGTTCAAAAAATGTATCTGATATACCAGGTGTCCAGAGGTGATATAGTCTGATACTGATGTGCTTTATGTTGCCACAGTGAGAGAAACCTCAAAAAACAGCAGGAACAGAGAAGAACTCAGGTAATACTGGATTTCTCCATCCAGTGGTGGTGTGTTTGTTGCATACTCATCTTTCCCATTTTGTTTATTATTATTATTATTATTAATTTAATTGGGGATTAGATGGAAGAAATCATGTTGAGGCAGGAACAGCAGAAAAAGGCAGCGCTGCTTCAACAGAATGAGGATCTGAAAAAGAAAGTTGACCGTGTCCGTCAATTCTATCAAAAAGTAAGTTTTATTTATTTATTTTTTTAACAATGCATAGTTAAGTAATTATAAATTCACAGAATATATTTAAGTCTTCCTTTTTGTTTCCATAGGCCCCTTCCTCACCCAGATCACCTATGGCCTCTTTGACATCGATGAGCCATTCACAGTCTGTGAATAATTCAATGCCCCATTCACAGTCTGGTGAGGCTAAATTTTGTGTGCATTTGTTTTTGATACAGAACCTAGATTATTTTATTAACATTTTGTGTTTCGACAGCTTCTAGCCCCTCAGACAGCATGCCAGTGATTTCAAATGTCATGTCCCTCTCCACTCCTAAAAGGTATATCATTCTCATTCTTTCTTTCTCTCTTTTTACGCCTGTATTTCTATTAATTCTCTCTTAATTCTGTTTTTGCAACATAATTTTGAAACCAAGCTAAACTTTTTTGTTTTACAGAACAAAAAGAAGTCTAGGATTATCCCAGAGCCAAAATGTAAAAAGAGCAAGAACATTAAATGACTACTGTAGCAACACTCCAGATAGTCCATCAACATCCACAGCTACATCAGATGCCATAAACTCACCTTTGGGGATTGAGGACTATAATGGAAATAAAGTTGTAGAGAGCAGTGTCAATGATGACGTTGTTATCGATGAAACCCACAGCACGCCAAGACCCAAAACCTTTGACCTTTCTAAGGTGAAGACAGAAGAAAAGCCCAGTGATGATGCAGCAGGATTATATATGGAGTGCAGTGATCACGCTTCCATGAAAACTGAAACTGAAGACACCGGAAAGGAAACAATGGAAGCATCAACTTCCAGTGGCCAAACAAGCACATCAACCCAAACAGAACGTTTGACTGTAAAGGCAGAGGAAGACCAGCAGATAAGAAATGAAGAAGGTGAGATCAAGAAAGAAGAGATTGAGAATGATGCAAGAATAATGGAACAGAGCACTAATGAGGTGGAAAGCAGGATAAGTAACAATACAGAAATAATCAAAGGCCCCATGGAGGTTGAGAGATGTAGTAGTGTAGAAGATGTTAGGCTAAATCTCACAAAACTAGAGGAGATACCTAAGGAGAATAAGATCAGTTTTGAACAACATGCAAAGTCAGATGTAGAAAACCAGGAAGGTATGACATCAACAACTTCCAAGACCTCACTTTTTTCTGACATAGACATTATGCCAACCCATGAAGCACAGAAGCAACAGGATAACCTGCTAGATCTCCTGGAGGCCACAGCCCGGGAGAGAGATGAATTAAGAGAGCAATTTCAGAAGAAAGAAATCAAACTCTTGAAACTCACCATGAACTGCAGCCATCAGAGCATCCAGACAGATCCATCAGAGGAACAAAACTATAAGACTCTCTACTTACAGGCCACCCAGTGCATCGGAGAGCTTACGCAAGAAAGGGATGAGCTAAAAAGGAAACAGGAGGTGTTGCAAATCAAAGCTGAAAAAGAGGCACAGGATGAGGTGTGTCGTGACCGGTTGAAAGCTAAGGAGGAGGAACACTCATCAACAACGAGCGTTTGTGAAAATGTAGATGATGAAATGGCTCTTCAAGTGGACCTTCTCCTAAGAGAGCTGGACAAGCGCAACACCGAATGCAATGAACTGAGAAATAAGGTGAGAACCTACCTGATATCTTTGACTCTCTAAATTCTTGTAACTAATAAGAAATGACAGGAGTCCCTGCTGAAAAAACCAGCATGAATTTCCAGCCTGCTTAGTACAGGTTTGATGCTGTTCAAGGTGAGTTTGCCAACAAAAATTCTGTCATCATTTACTCACTCTCATGATGTTCCATATCTGTATGATTTCTGCAGTACCAGTAGTACCAACTCAAATCTGTACCCGATCAGTCACCTGCTTTCAAGCGCTCCTGTGTTTTTGTGTGCGCGCTCTGGTTTCACATTACAAAACCAAAAGTTTCTATTTACAATGTGTTATTGCAGCGTTGAGAATTGTAGCCAATCACAGGCATCTCTGTTGAAAGCAATGGCCAGTCAGAGGTGTTGTTTACTGTAGGTCAGTCAAAATCTTCTCTGAACTAATTTTTGTTTTCACAAGTTTACGGAGTTCTACATGCTCACAGATCTTCCTATTATAATGAGAAAAAAAGCATACACACTGTGTAAATAAGAGATTTATTATGTAGTTAGTTATTGTTCATATCCATAGACTGTATAAAAATGTAAACCAATGAAATCAGTCGTATGTACAGACTCAATGGCAGCCTTACAAAGTTTAGAAAGCGTTTTTTCAGTTAGAGAAGATCTAATCATAGAAATTAGACATACGCTATTAAACATTAGAAACCTTTGAATTGAAGTTCATTTTTGGGGGGTTCCAGCACATATTGGAATCAGAGGTAATGAAAAAGCTAATAAGATAACAAAGAAGCACTGGAAAAAGAGGAGGTAGAAATGAATATTTCAATGGGGAAAGGAGAGGCTAAAGCTAAGATTAAATGTGAAATAATGCAAATATGGCAATAAGAATGGGAGTCTGAATCTAAAGATAAATTCTATCTCACAAACCAAGTAAACGTAGGAGGAAAAAGGATAACTATGGCAAACAGGAGAGAAGAAGCGGTATATTCAAGATTGAGACTAGGTCATACTGGACTGAATGACACATTGCAGATAGTAAGGAAGAGTAATGAATTATGCACAAGATGTCAAACTAAGATGTAGAACATTATTTAGATGCATTAAATACCATGAATACAGACAGAAATGGCAGAAGAGAATGAAATTTAAGATATTCTTAGGGAACAAGGGATGGAAAGAAATGTGACTCAAAGCTTTGTTTATATTCCTTAAAAATTCAAGATTAATAAGAAGAATCTAGGATTTTTCTTTTTTTTTGATTAAGTAAAGTTTCTTCCACCAAGTTCCTCTACACACTTCTGTACAGTAGATGGTAGTATGCAATAATTTCAAGTTCCAAATGCCAGATAAGAAGAAGGGAGCTTTTGCGTGAGTGAGCTCGGTCAGTTGCGCTTAGGGATGGATACCACTTATTTTGTTTTCGATACGATACCAATATTTTTCAAGGCAGTATCGTCGATATCGATACCGATTCGATACATCTGAACTAAACTTTTAAATTATGAAATGTATTAAATTATTAAATTACTAAGAGTAAAATGGGTAATGATAAGCACTTAACTTTGTTTAAAATGCATTTTAACATTCAATATGCCTTAATTGTAATTTATTAGGTTATATTTTTGTTTACACATGGTTCAAATATGTTTTTTGTTTACACATAACTACGGTCACTTTAGTAAAACCATGGTTCATTTTCATAAGGGACTGCCAGTGACAGGCTGTTGCATGCATAAAATGCATCCTTTTTATTCTGACAGTGTATGATTTCTATTAACATTACAGAATAGAACATGATCAATATTATCTTTCAACGTTCAATTTAAATAACTGTAATTGCACAAACTATGTAGGCTACAATTTCAGTTTGTTTATTGTGAAATAACTCTGTCCTTCTGTCCTCTGATAAGCATTGTTCAGGGCTGCCGTTCCCAAAAGCTTTAATGCTTTCTTATGATACTTTTGGGAAAAGCAGCCCTGTTTGAATGTACTGTCAGAAGTGAGTGCGAGTCATTGCTATGATTGACAGATGAATGGCAACTGAGCTTAGTCCTAATGAAGCTTAGCTTTCATCTTAAAAGTCTTTGTTTTCCACCAGGATCATCATCTTCATGAATGAAAAGTTCATCTTTAAAGTGAATTTTACTGCACAGTTGTAGAGGAGGGGACATCTTTGTCACCTTTTTCACCCAAGATGAGTTTGCATCCTCCTTCGAAATGCATCAAGATATTTTTAATGAAATCTGATAGATTTCTGTTCCTCCATTGAAAGTCACTTCCACCAAAACTTTGACACTTCAAAATGTTAATGATATAGGGTAATTGGGAGCTCAGCTGTACACGCAAGAACAAACCTCATTGGTTCTCGCACATTGAGCATGTGTTAAGCAAATATCTGTTTACCATATTTTATTTTCTCTATGAATGTATATATGTGAATATAAGCCTAAAGTGAATCTGTTCATCATATAAAGTGATTTTGTCTCATCAAAAGACTTAGATTCAACTGCTCAGTTCTACAATCTCTTAATGAACATTTTGAAACATCAAATTTTTGGTTGCATGGACTGTCAATAGAGGGACAGAAATATATTACTTTGTATTTTGAATATGAACAAATGTCTTTGAAATGACACGAGGGTGAGTAAATAATGACAGATATTTCATTTTTGGGTGAACTAACCATTATGCTAGTGAAGCTGACTGACCATGAAAGCCTTGCTGGTTTAGATATAACAGTCTCCTAGTCCACAAAAGCTAGATTTTTCTGCCATTATGTGATCGTTCAGGATTCAATTGTTTTTCTTTTTTCCTTTCTTTCATTCTTTACCCCCCGCAAACTGTATACTCAAAGTTGGACAGCTTGGAGCAGGAGAAAGCTCAATGTGAACAGTTGCAGAAGGAAGTAGAAGAGCTGAGGAAACAGAAAGAGGAGTGGAGCAATGCAAGAGAGCAAGAGACTGGTAACACCAGTTTAGAACAAACATGCAGCACAAATACAGCTGCAAACCTTGTGAATGGGTCCAAAATGGAAGGAGAGAGCAATGAAAGACCTGTGGAGGGAGAGAACGCAGTGACACCGGCCAAGTAAGAGCCTTGTTGACTTGTTTCAAATATTTTCAGTGGTATGTGGCATTTCTGTACATGCTCACTAGGGCTACGTTCACACAATCCAATTTTTTTTTGCTCACACGTGACTCGGATCTGTTTTTGTCATGACAGTGTGAACGGCACAAACCGCATGGAATCTGATATTTCAATTCCGATTTGTGCCACTTCCATATGTGGTACTAAATCGACATTCATCATAATTCCGCGCTGACGGGAGACACTTCAAAGATTTTTACATGCCCAAAGTTATCAAGACAGGTGCGAAAGGTAATCAGTGTAATGTGTCAGAACTCATAAGAATTACAGTGACAACTCTATATACAAACAAAACATGAGGGCTCGTATCATAAATGCTTCAAAACTCTGCTGTCTTTTGTCACATCCTTGTCTTTATTTTTCATATTGCCTGCACATAATTTTGCCGGATTCAGCAGCAGATCACACTATAAATAAACACATAATCGCTTACTTTATGTCCTCCGTGTTTACTTCTGTATGACAGCGGTTGCCAAATCCACAGTTTCCCCGCAGAATTAGGCTACTTTTCCTCTGTTGCCGCAAGATGTTTTTCAACTTCGTGGGTTGACGCGACTCCACTAACACAATATTTATCCCCCTGGCCTGAGCATGGTTGTGCTAGCTTTGGACTAGTTTTGTTTATCAATTGGGCGGATTTTGTTGTGTAAACCTGGAAACCCTGTTCGTATCATTCTTTTGCGCATACGGGTCAGTTCAGAACCATGATCTGTTCACTCTGTAAAACTGATATTGGCCACGTTTAAAACAACAATGTGAACAGCTACAGAAACAAATCGGATCTGAGAACAAATCGGAATGGAGCACTAAGGCTCACAGTGTGAACGTAGCCTAGGAGTCACGTTTTGATGCACATATATAAATCTGCTCTCTCTCACTTCGGTCATCAGGTTGAGGGAGCTGAGGTACAGCATTGCCCGTTTATTGGTCACCTTTGTTCCTGCTCTGGACCTTGACCAAGTGAATTATGACTGTGAGGTCATAGATGAGATTTTAAATCAGGTCATACAGGAGATTTCCCCCACTGAGACCACCATTACTTAAAGCCAGTTGCCAAAATATTCAGCCTAGGTTAATATTTTGTGCATGGAGACAAATTGTTCAAATGCTATTTCACTCTGAAAATATTAATCATGCTATTAATTGGTGTTTTATTTACATGTTTTTTCCTGATTAACACTCGCAGTTGTTTGGGCAAGTTTTAAATTCTTTTATATTGTTTCAAGAATAAAGTTTGACCTTTCTGTCACAAAGACTTAAGCTTATAAAGCTTACGAATGTTGTGCCATTTCATGATAGGTTTCTGTAATTTTTCTTATATGCAATTGTGTGGATTTCTGATACACAATACTTTGTATACACAGTTGTGAGTGGATAACAGCAGTAGGAGGTGCTACTCAAATTGTGTACAGTCGTTGCCAAAAGGCAGTGACATAAATTCTGTGTTTTGCAAAGTTTGCTGCTTCAGTATTTGTAGATTATTTTTCCACATGTTTCTATGGTATACTGAAAAACAATGATAAGCATATCATAAGTTTAAAAGGCTTTTATTGGCAAAAAATATGAGTCAATATTTACAGTGCTGACCCTTGTTCTTCATAACCTCTGCAACTCGCTCTGGCATGCTGGATATTAGCTTCTGGGCCAAATCCTGACTGATGGCGATCTATTCTTGCCTTATTATTCCTCGGAGTTGATCACAATTTGTCGGTTTCTGCTTGTCCACTCGCCTTTTGAGGACTGACTACAGGTTCTCTATGGGATTGAGATCCGGGAGTTGCCTGGCCACGGATCCAAAATTTCAATGTAATGATCTTCGAGCCACTTCTTAATCACTCTTGCTTTGTGACATGGTGCTCCATCATGCTGGAAAATGCACGGATCGTCACCAAATTGCTAATGAATCGTTGGAAGAAGTGGCTCTTGCAGGACACTTTGATACCACTCTTTATTCATGGCAGTGTTTTTGGGAAGAATTATGAGAGAGCCCACTCTTGTTTGAAAAGCAACCCCACACATGGATGGTCTTAGGATGCTTCACTGTTGGCACAACACAGGACTCATGGGAGCGTTCACCTTTTCTTCTCCGAACAATAGATTTTCCAGATGTCCTAAACAGTCGGAAGGGAGCTTCATCAGAGAAAATAACTTTTTTTTTTTTTACTTTACATCTTCAAAATGATGAATAAAGAATGTGCGTCATTGTGTTTTTGCTTTTTTTCAGTTTTTATTGAATTTATGAAGGTGATGTAAACTGAATCATTATATGTTCTTTGGGAATTATACAATAATATATTTTATATATGTAACATATAGTTTTATTTTACATTACAAAAGATTTATCATTTTATTAATTTCAACAAATTTACCATCAATACAGATGGTGCATATCTAGTCTTTGGATGCAGATGCTGCATATCTAGTCTTTGGATTTATCCATTGCATACGACACGTTTTCTCACTGACAGGCCCCCAACTCGGAAAATGAGCTTAAAAAGGGTCATATGATGCGATTTCAATTTTTCCTTTCTCTTTGGAGTGTTACAAGCTGATTGTGCATAGATAAGATCCCTGAAGTTGCAAAGAGTAAAGTCTCAAAACCAAAGAGATATTCTTTATAAAAGTTAAGACTCTGCCACGCCCCCCTAAAACGGCTCGTTCTAACACGCCCCCAACATATCTACCTCACTATGTGGAAATATTTGCATAATGCCGCCCAAATGTGCACGCAAAGAAAGAAGGCGTGGTTTCAGTCTGGCAACCCTCGATACCGGAAGTGCTCATTCTCGGAAAGCTGCGCGGGAAAGGCGTCTGTTTGGGTGAAGGCGGGAGAGATACACGGACGGAGCTACTGTTGAACAATTGTTACGACTTTTGCCATTTCAGTTGTCGAGGTAACTGGTAAGTTTTCAGTTATACGCACTGTGACTTCTTCATCTGTTATTGATTAACATTACGTGCGCTTATATTAAAATTTCACCAAGAACAGCGTTAGGTGAGTTGGTCCGTATTACGCTGTAATATTCGTTTATTATCCAAGGTGATAGTTCTTTGTTCTGCATTAATGCTAACGTTACTGGTTCACGGTTTACTAGAACGCTTATTAGTAGTTTTTAATAGTTTATGTCTTTATGCCCATGAATTATGTAATTATAAGCCTAAAATGTGTGGTGTTAGTGTTGTTTACGGTATATTTTATATATATGTATATAGCGTTGCTTTCAACTCAAAGTTTTTAAAGGATTTCTTCTTTTGACAGTTTCAGTTTGTGTTTTTCTTATTTTTTTCTCTTAAATTCCTCTTGCCTTTATTTTTATGCATGATTCTAATATCTGTATCTCTTTATATCCTTGTCCATCAGGTGTCAGGATGAAGGTGGTAACCTGTGAGATTGCCTGGCATAATAAGGAGCCGGTGTACAGTATGGATCTCCAGCAGAGTGGTGAGGGAAAGACACAGCGGCTCGCTACAGCTGGGGTGGACACCACAGTACGGGTAAGAGAGAGCCTCTGCCTTCACTTTATACATCACAGGTGTCTCTTAATTGAATACTGATGACACATGACAGATTGTAAGATGAGAGCTGTTCTCTTTCAGATGTGGCGTGTGGATAAAGGTCCTGATGGGAAGGCGGTCGTTGAGTTTTTGTCTAACTTGGCACGACACACTAAAGCAGTGAACGTAGTGCGGTTCTCACCCACCGCTGAGATCTTGGCTTCTGGAGGGGATGGTGAGTTTAAAGTCTGATCATTACCTGGGTAAGTTGGTTGAAATTGCTTCTAGCGCCTTTAAATGGTTTAATTAAATGTCCGTTTCTCAAGATGCTGCAATCTTGCTTTGGAAACTGAATGATAATAAGGAGCCTGAACAAACCCCGGCTTTTCAGGAGAATGAAGATGATCAACTCAATAAAGAGAGCTGGAGTGTGGTCAAGACACTGAGGTCTGATTTTAGTTTTTTTTTTTTTTTTTTCTTTCTTAAAATGTCCCCCTTGCCTGTCTTTTACATAAAAAATGCATGAAATTAAAATTCACATTATCTGTTATATAAATGAATGTTATTATTCTTGTGCACAACGCATCCATACACATATATATATATATATTATTATTTTATTTTTAGATTTGTGATTTTCAGTCAAAATGTCATAAATCAGCCTTTCGGTGAAATAACAGACTTCTCTCTTTTGATGTATGCTTAGATTTTATTTAAACCCAACCATTTTCTTACAATCGACTGCAAGCTCACATTCAGATGATCTGCCTCCATCCAATCAACCAATAAAACCAAGTCCCCATCCTTTTTTTTTTTCTTTTATAATAAACTATTTAACTCGGACATGTATAACAATGTGGGAAAAAAAACTTCCGTTTCATTGCAACTTTAAGTTATTTACTTTTGAAACGTATATTGAAAGCTCATATTGTTGTCTGTGTTTGTTAGGGGACATATTGAGGATGTATATGATATCTCATGGACCAGCGATGGGAACTTCATGGTTTCGGGCTCTGTGGACAACACTGCCATCATGTGGGATGTCAACAAGGGTATGAGACCTGAAGCAGGACTATGGAATTGCATGCATATATTTGCTTTTATAGAAGTGATGATATGCGTTTTAAAATATTACAGTGAATACCTTTTTAGTAAGCAGAACTTTATGAAATGTTTTGTGGTTATTGAATTCAGTGCCTGGTTTGTTTGCAGGTCAAAGAGTGTGCCATTTGGGACAGGGCTAAAGACAGGGCGGAGCAAAAATAAAAAAAAAACGAGCGGAGGTAGAGGAAAGATACATAGCGGAGGCAGAGAAATCCGTGCGACCCAAGTCATCCAAGGTGTGGGAGCATTTCACACTAAATAAACAGAAAAAGTGTGTTAACTGCAAAATATGCAAAAGCGACATGGCATGGCACGGGAGCACCACGGCAATGATCCAGCACCTGAAACGCAAACATATTGGAGTCTTTGATGAGGAGGAAGGGAGTTCAACAGCAGGGTAAATCACTACAGAATCCTACTTTTGTTCCGTTTTGAAGTGAGGAACGTAATGTCCCTGGTGCTGGTGTTTACTCGTTATCCAGCTTGACAAGCATGACAAGTTAGCGTTAGCTCGTTAATAACAGTAGTAAAGCAGGGGTGGTATAGTTACTTTGCACTTTGCATTGCAAGACTAAAGACATGTTTTTATTCACTCGCCTTTTTTGGACCATTCATTTTTCAATCTGTTGTCATGTATAGCTACACTGCAAAAAAATGCTTTTCTAACTTAGTAGTTTTGTCCTGTTTTCTGTCCAAATATCTAAAAAAATCTTAAATCAAGATTACTAGACAAGAAAAATGGCATGAGAAAATTAAGTGATGCTTAAAACTTCTGTTTGAGATTATATCTCATTAAGATTATTTTTCTTACCCCATTGGCAGATAATTTTGCTTATTTTAAACAAACAATCACTTAATTTTGAGGTGTTTTTTCAGAAAACAAGACATAATTTCTTATGCTATTTCATGTGTCTAGTAAATGTATCTTGATTTAAGATTTTTTATACTGCGTTGAAGCATCCAAGCATTGAAAAAGCTGTCGGGGCTGCAAGATGTCTGGTAGAACATTTTAAGAAAAGCGAGCTAGCCAGCAGTAAACTCAGAGAGAAACAACAACAAATGGCCACACCAGAGCACAGCCTTGTTCAAGACATAAGCACAAGGTGGAATAGCACATTCTATATGATAAGTCGACTGCTTGAGCAAAGGTGGCCTGTAACAGCAACACTGTCAGACAGAGAGGCAAAAGGTACCTGGATCTGAAACCAGACCAGTGGAGCCTGCTGGAAGAGCTTTCAACAGTCCTCAAGCCTTTTGAATCTGTCACTGTGTTCATGAGTGGACAGAAATATGCAACAGTATCTGCAATACCTCCACTTGTGAAGGGGCTGTTGAAGTCCACCCAGAGTGCTGTCTACGAGTCAGCCCCGCTGCGGGCTTACCAACTCACTGCGGTGCAGCAGTTGCAGGAGAGATGGAAAAGGGAGACTGCTTTCTCAGATGGAGCACCAAACACAGTGATTTTTGCGATGGCCTTTGACCCAAGGTTTAGGAAACTGAGCAAGTTTCTTTCACCTGATGAAATCCTACCTGTTCAAACTAAACTGCAAACAATGTCACTTGAAGAGAGAAGGAAGATGGATGTGTAGCATCATGGCAGTTGCAGTGTTGTTACCTCCACCAATACTACAGCTACTGAATCAACACCTCTAGTAGCCACTCTACTTGATTCACTCCTTGGTTCTGATGGTGAAGAAGAGGATAGAGCAGGCGAAGCTGAGAATGTCCACAGCCAAGTGAGGAACGAAGTCCTCACATACTTTGGAGAAAAGAGCCTTGCCAAGGAAGAAAACCCATTATTGTGGTGGAAGGCTAACAATGAAAGATATCCCATGTTGGCCAGGCTAGCCAAGTCTTACCTCTGCATCCCTGCCACCTCAACACCATCTGAGCGGCTGTTTTCTGCAGCAGGCAACATAGCCTCAAAGAAAAGAGCGAGCCTGAGCCAGGAGCATGTGGACATGCTCACATGTTTGCATTGTAATGCAAAGTGTCTGAACAAAGGGAGTGAGAGAGAGTGTGTCAGTGTGAGAGTGTGTGCGTCTGCGAGTGTGTGCGTCTGCAGTGTAGTGTAGAGAACAAGTTCTGACATTCAAACAAATCCTGTTAAATTTTCTGATTTGTATTGTTCTTTATTTTTTATAAATTATTTATTGTTCTGGCAGCTCAGGTGGCACTTTATTTTAAAAAAAAGTATATTTGGCAGATGTAAAGCATACATGTGTATGTTTTTTGTGTAAGTCCATTTTTATTTTATTTTATTATTATAACAGCTCAGGGATGTTCAAGGAGCAACATGTTTGTGCACTTTCTAAAGGTTTTAGTTCTGTTTTTGAATAAAGGGTTGGAAATGAATGCTTTTCTTGCTTTTTTGTTTTTTATACGATTCATCGATTAATCGAAAAAATAATCTACAGATTAATCGATTATTAAAATAATCGTTAGTTGCAGCCCTAGTCCCCATCAGTCAATAAGTGTTTTTTTTTTTTTATTGTTGGTGATTTACTTACTTTTGTACAGGTGAAGAACTACAGAATGTTCCATGATGACGGCATGAGATCTTTCTTCAGACGTCTCACATTCACACCTGATGGGTCGTTCCTCCTTGCTCCAGGTGCACTTTTTTTTCTTCTTTTTACACTTTTACATGTGTGTGTGTGTGTGTATACCCCGTATGTTTATGTAATGTATGGGTGAGTAGTTATAACAAACTTTTTAATATGCTTTGTTAGAACTATTCGACACATTTACAGTCTGTATTTTTGGCCTGGTGTCCATGTACATTCCTTGTGTAGTTAATATGGAATTTATTTACTCATTTATTTTATTTTTAGCCGGGTGTGTCGAGGCTGGAGAGAATGTCACAAACACAACATACGTATTCTCCAGAAAAAGCTTTAAAAGGTTTGTTTTATTGGATGGCTTTTATTTCCCTCTAAAACTTGATCTTTATGTTTGTGTGTGTGTGTATGTTCACTTGTAAAGCTATGCAGTAATCACATATGCACCATTCAAATGACAAATGATTGGAGTCAATATGTTTATTTTTCACACTTGGGGGGGGGGCTTTTTATGCATTAAATTGATTAAAAGGCAGTAAAGCATTAAAAGGCATTTGCGTTAGAAAACATTTCTACTTCAAATAAATGCTTGTGTTTTGAACATTATTGTTGTTTAGTGAGTCCTGAAAACATGTACCACGGTTTCCCCAATATAGGAATCAGCACAACTGTTTTCAACATTGAGCACCAAATCAGTATATTAGAACAATTTTTGGAGGGTCATGACATGCTGAAGACTTGAGTAATTGCTACGGAAAATTCAGCTTTGCTATCAAAGGAATAAATTGCATTTTTAAATATTCAAATAGAAAATCGTTATTTAAAATTGTAGTAATATCTCACAATATATAGATGCATCCTTGCTGAACATGAGATTTCAAAAACATTTTCAAAATCTTACCGAACCATAAAATGTTGTGGCTCGTGTATTTTTGGTACATGAAACTGGTTTTCAATACCCAGCCCGACTGCTGACACAGTCATGTCTTGACACAGTCTTGATTTGTGTTACCATGTTTAGTGTTTGACCATGTTTGCATTGCAATGCAAAGTGTCTGAACAAAGGGAGTGAGAGAGAGTGTGTCAGTGTGAGAGTGTGTGCGTCTGCAGTGTAGTGTAGAGAACAAGTTCTGACATTCAAACAAATCCTGTTAAATTTTCTGATTTGTATTGTTCTTTATTTTTTATAAATTATTTATTGTTCTGGCAGCTCAGGTGGCACTTTATTTAAAAAAAAAAGTCTATATATTTGGCAGATGTAAAGAATACATGTGTATGTTTTTTGTGTAAGTCCATTTTTATTTTATTTTATTATTATTATTATAACAGCTCAGGGATGTTCAAGGAGCAACATGTTTGTGCACTTTCTAAAGGTTTTAGTTCTGTTTTTGAATAAAGGGTTGGAAATGAATGCTTTTCTTGCTTTTTTGTTTTTTATACGATTCATCGATTAATCGAAAAAATAATCTACAGATTAATCGATTATTAAAATAATCGTTAGTTGCAGCCCTAGTCCCCATCAGTCAATAAGTGTTTTTTTTTTTTTTATTGTTGTGATTTACTTACTTTTGTACAGGTGAAGAACTACAGAATGTTCCATGATGACGGCATGAGATCTTTCTTCAGACGTCTCACATTCACACCTGATGGGTCGTTCCTCCTTGCTCCAGGTGCACTTTTTTTTCTTCTTTTTACACTTTTACATGTGTGTGTGTGTGTGTGTGTGTGTATACCCCGTATGTTTATGTAATGTATGGGTGAGTAGTTATAACAAACTTTTTAATATGCTTTGTTAGAACTATTCGACACATTTACAGTCTGTATTTTTGGCCTGGTGTCCATGTACATTCCTTGTGTAGTTAATATGGAATTTATTTACTCATTTATTTTATTTTTAGCCGGGTGTGTCGAGGCTGGAGAGAATGTCACAAACACAACATACGTATTCTCCAGAAAAAGCTTTAAAAGGTTTGTTTTATTGGATGGCTTTTATTTCCCTCTAAAACTTGATCTTTATGTTTGTGTGTGTGTGTATGTTCACTTGTAAAGCTATGCAGTAATCACATATGCACCATTCAAATGACAAATGATTGGAGTCAATATGTTTATTTTTCACACTTGGGGGGGGGGCTTTTTATGCATTAAATTGATTAAAAGGCAGTAAAGCATTAAAAGGCATTTGCGTTAGAAAACATTTCTACTTCAAATAAATGCTTGTGTTTTGAACATTATTGTTGTTTAGTGAGTCCTGAAAACATGTACCACGGTTTCCCCAATATAGGAATCAGCACAACTGTTTTCAACATTGAGCACCAAATCAGTATATTAGAACAATTTTTGGAGGGTCATGACATGCTGAAGACTTGAGTAATTGCTACGGAAAATTCAGCTTTGCTATCAAAGGAATAAATTGCATTTTTGTCCCCATCAGTCAATAAGTGTTTTTTTTTTTTTTATTGTTGTGATTTACTTACTTTTGTACAGGTGAAGAACTACAGAATGTTCCATGATGACGGCATGAGATCTTTCTTCAGACGTCTCACATTCACACCTGATGGGTCGTTCCTCCTTGCTCCAGGTGCACTTTTTTTTCTTCTTTTTACACTTTTACATGTGTGTGTGTGTGTGTATACCCCGTATGTTTATGTAATGTATGGGTGAGTAGTTATAACAAACTTTTTAATATGCTTTGTTAGAACTATTCGACACATTTACAGTCTGTATTTTTGGCCTGGTGTCCATGTACATTCCTTGTGTAGTTAATATGGAATTTATTTACTCATTTATTTTATTTTTAGCCGGGTGTGTCGAGGCTGGAGAGAATGTCACAAACACAACATACGTATTCTCCAGAAAAAGCTTTAAAAGGTTTGTTTTATTGGATGGCTTTTATTTCCCTCTAAAACTTGATCTTTATGTTTGTGTGTGTGTGTATGTTCACTTGTAAAGCTATGCAGTAATCACATATGCACCATTCAAATGACAAATGATTGGAGTCAATATGTTTATTTTTCACACTTGGGGGGGGGGCTTTTTATGCATTAAATTGATTAAAAGGCAGTAAAGCATTAAAAGGCATTTGCGTTAGAAAACATTTCTACTTCAAATAAATGCTTGTGTTTTGAACATTATTGTTGTTTAGTGAGTCCTGAAAACATGTACCACGGTTTCCCCAATATAGGAATCAGCACAACTGTTTTCAACATTGAGCACCAAATCAGTATATTAGAACAATTTTTGGAGGGTCATGACATGCTGAAGACTTGAGTAATTGCTACGGAAAATTCAGCTTTGCTATCAAAGGAATAAATTGCATTTTTAAATATTCAAATAGAAAATCGTTATTTAAAATTGTAGTAATATCTCACAATATATAGATGCATCCTTGCTGAACATGAGATTTCAAAAACATTTTCAAAATCTTACCGAACCATAAAATGTTGTGGCTCGTGTATTTTTGGTACATGAAACTGGTTTTCAATACCCAGCCCGACTGCTGACACAGTCATGTCTTGACACAGTCTTGATTTGTGTTACCATGTTTAGTGTTTGACGTGTGTTTGTGTGTCAGGCCCATTGCTCATCTGCCGTGTCCATCTAAAGCGACACTAGCTGTGCGCTGCAGCCCAGTGTACTATGAGCTGAGGACGAAAACAGCTGAAGGTACGCACAATACCCTTCCCAAACTGTTGTTTTACTTATGTCACATGTGTGCAATGGAAAGACCGTACTGTCCTTTTATGTTTCACAGGTGGTTCACTAAAGCCAGTGTCAAACACATTTAATTTGCCATATCGGCTGGTGTTCGCGGTTGCATCGGAAGACTCGATCTTCTTTTATGACACACAACAGGCTCTGCCGTTTGGATACGTGTCCAACATCCACTACCACACGCTGAGTGATCTCAGCTGGTAAGTTGCACAGACTTGTTGGTGTTTTGGGCCTTAAGTTGTGCTTGTTCTACATGATAGCAGGAGGAAGATGCTTCTGTCCACAAAATGTGTCCCAATGTAGGTGCATTTGGTAGCCTGAAATGACCAGGTATATTTGGAGTTACAAAAATGGGAAAATAAACTGAATCTTTAGAAATGCTTTGTTCATAAACCTGTCAGTAATAAAACATGTAATTTTATTAAATGTTATATTTTTATACATGTAAATTGTATTTTATTGAAATCTCGTTATGAAAAAAACTGTTTTTCTCTAATACAAATTGGGCACAATTAATGGCACACTTTTATTCAATACTTTTAACCTCATTTTGCTAAGATAACAACTTTGAGTCTTCTCCTATAATGTCTGATGAGTTTGGAGAACACCTGACAAGAGATCAGAGACAACTCCTCTATATAGAATCTCTGGAATGACCTTGGCAGAACCTTAAAGGGGTCCTAGTATACCTTTTTGCGAAGTCTTGATCTGTTTTTTTGGGGTGTACTAGAATAGGTTTTCGTGCTTGATTGTTGCAAAAACACATTATTTTTCACGTATTTTACATTATTGTAGCACCTCTCTAAAAAAGTTTGTCCACCTTATAAAGGCCAAACAAAAGGGTTTTGAAACTAGGGTGGAAAAAACAATGGTGGCATCACGTTATTAAAGCAGCTCTTTTTTTTTTCTCCTTTGTCCTCTCTTGTGCAGCTCAACCAGGCCTCATCTTTTTTTAGTGTGTGTATTCTGTGGGGAGGAATTTTTTAAATGAGTGACATTTTGGCTTCACAATATCTGGAAGAATCACACTGTAGTCCAAACCTATTTGTTGTAGTTCTTGAAAAGTGTTTTCTGTTAAAGAGAATATCTCTCTTTAGAGTGGACATTGAGTAACATTTCAGATCTTTTTTTATTCTCAAATAGCGACAATACACACTTCTGAAGTTGAAAAGATGAGAACGCATAATAGGACCCCTTTAATTTTTTGCCCCTTTTTGTTTTTTGATGTTCGTTTTGAATCATTGTCCTGATGGAAAATCCAAACAAGGCTCATGAGATTTCTAGCAGTCAGTCAGGTTTTTTTTTTTTTTTAATCTGATAGAATCCATGATGCCATGTATCCAGGACCTCCAGCAGAAAAATAGTCTCACAACATTGTAGATACAGCAGTATATTTAATTGTACACATTGGCTACTTTTTTATCCCTGTGTGCAACTAACCCATTTTAAATGTTTGCTGGCAAAAAGCTAATTTTTTACTTTCATCTGACCATAGAACCCTCCTTTGTCCTCTCTTGTGCAGCTCAACCAGGCCTCATCTTTTTTTAGTGTGTGTATTCTGTGGGGAGGAATTATTTAAATGAGTGACATTTTGGCTTCACAATATCTGGAAGAATCACACTGTAGTCCAAACCTATTTGTTGTAGTTCTTGAAAAGTGTTTTCTGTTAAAGAGAATATCTCTCTTTAGAGTGGACATTGAGTAACATTTCAGATCTTTTTTTATTCTCAAATAGCGACAATACACACTTCTGAAGTTGAAAAGATGAGAACGCATAATAGGACCCCTTTAATTTTTTGCCCCTTTTTGTTTTTTGATGTTCGTTTTGAATCATTGTCCTGATGGAAAATCCAAACAAGGCTCATGAGATTTCTAGCAGTCAGTCAGGTTTTTTTTTTTTTTTAATCTGATAGAATCCATGATGCCATGTATCCAGGACCTCCAGCAGAAAAATAGTCTCACAACATTGTAGATACAGCAGTATATTTAATTGTACACATTGGCTACTTTTTTATCCCTGTGTGCAACTAACCCATTTTAAATGTTTGCTGGCAAAAAGCTAATTTTTTACTTTCATCTGACCATAGAACCCAGCCCAGTTAGAAGTTCCATTAGTCTCTCTGGCAACTGAATCCTGTCCATTGTTTCTGCTTTACTGGGAAAGGCATAATTTATATGTAGCCAATGCAACCAAACCGTGCCATTTCTTGTGAGTCACAGATGAGTACAGAATATGTTCTTTAATCTGTTGAGATGGTCTTTTATCTGTGATGAAATACATGGCAGTTGACCAGCCAGTGTTATTGGTCAGGTTATAGAAAATGCAGACATCCCGAGTCTAGAGTAATTTTGAGATGAACTATTATTGACTAACACATTTGCTGTTATGGATGTTTTTCCACAGGTCTCGTGATGGCTCCTTCTTGGCAGTGTCATCTACTGACGGCTACTGTTCCTTCGTGTCGTTTGAGGAAGGGGAGCTAGGCACCCCATTGAAAGAGCGACCTCCACTGGAGATGGTGACTCCATCCTCTACTAATGAGAAGAAAGGCAAGAGACCCTCAGCTAATGGCAGGACTGCTTCCCCGGTCCCTCGCCAGGCCAACACACCTGCTGCACAGGAAAAGGAGAAAGAGGGATCTGCTGGCCCCGTGTCCTCCAAGACCCCCAGCATATCTGGTCCAGAAGAGAAATGCACACCTCAAGCACAGAAAACCAAACCACAGCCTAGAAGGATCACACTCAATACCCTGGAGGGCTGGGGCAAACCCAGCACCCCCAAATCCCCGGCAACTGCCCCCAACACACCCAAATCTGCTCCCTCCACCCCTGGATCCGACAGAGGACCGCTTACACCTCTTCCAGCCCCTAGCACTCCCCTGGGACCCCTCAACTCCAAAAATACCACAACTCCAAAAGGACCAACTCCTCGGTAGGGCAGCGCACATCTGTGGTATGATCTGATGTAACATTGTTTTTTAACCATATGCTTGCATTCACTTTGGGGTCAGTATGATTTTTTTTGTTGTTGCTTAAAGGAAAGAATACTTCTACTGAGCTGAATATTCTATTCAGTGTTTGTGACACAACAAATTTGTGTCAGTAATTTTACAACTTTAACAGAATTTCTCAGTTTCTTGGTCTGTCATGGCAGTCCATACATGTGTCCCTGAAATTATATAAATTTAGTGTTACAGCCTAATCCATGACCTGAGCAGTAAAGATGATGTGCACAATGGATCAAGTATGTACTTTTTTTTTCTTTCAGACGAATTTCTCTGACTCCAGTTGTCTCCAAATCCCCCACTGCTTTTGTCACCCCATCTTCCACTGAGAAAGCCAAACATGGTTAGTAGACCCATGCTTTTAAGTTTTGCTTTTTATGCAAGTAAAAATAATTGTAATTTAAGTTGATGTTGTTTTTCAATGCTTGCTTTAAATATTGATAATTTTTTCTCTGTTTCAGAAAAGCATTAGTTTTTCCATCTCATTTTGAGTTGCCTAAAAGACTATTCAACCTTATTTGTTCATATTTTGCTGTCATTACTTTGGTTACTTTTTGTGTAAGAAGCATGTAAATTAATTGTTGTTGTTTGTATATTTGTGCGCACCGTCTTACCGGTCATTTATAAATATTTGTTCATCACAGAGAGACCATCTCCCCCCAGCGACCCAGCATGCAAACCTCCTGAATCCAAGAGGTCCAAGACTGATGTTAGCAGTGGTTCTGCCCAGAGCAAGTGAGCACAAAGTGGACACAGAACCCAGCGTCAAATCCCAAGAACCATAAACACTGAATGTGGTTCTTTGTCTCTCTTTATTAACAATCTCATCCTTAGAGATGAAGTACACCCATAAACCAATAACTTAAACAACCTGATCCCATGGACATATGGAGTTGCATGCTATGTTTCTGAAACTCATCTTTGCTTTCATTTTCAATGTTTGTCAATTTTCTATTTGAAGAGGAAAAATACATGCAATTATTCTCTATAACCACCTACTCCCTCGTGACTGAAATTCCTTTTTTTTATCTTATGGACAGAAATATTTTACTTTTGTACCATCTGTTTGAGTTTTCTTCATAAAGATTCTTAAGAATGGGAAGGTTATTTGAAGTAAAAAGAAAAAAATGTATACAATGGATTGCAATGTTTTGTAAAGATTTGCTTGAACATTTTGTAAGATTCTTTAAAAAAAAAAAAAAGGGCTAAAAGACTTGGTTTTTGTTGCATTCAGATTGATTGAAATGGAGTTGTATTGTATATTGTCCATCAAAATGTATATTATGTTGTAGGAAGTTGTTATTGTACAATATATATTTTATTGTCTTTTACAGTAACAAGCTCTGTGTTAAGGGAAGTATGTGAACTTGAATTCACTGTCACAAGTGCAAACAAACTCTTACATTAAATCCTAAATTAGCAGAACTAAAAAAATAAGTAGGACTTTAGATTTTGATTTTGTACTATCTTGAAATATTGAGTGAGAAGTAATTTAAATTTCGTACAAGTTAAAAGAACAGGTCATGTAAAGGTAAAATGACACAGTAACTTGTTTTACACTTCCTAATTTTGTGTTTCCATTTAGAACCTATTTCAGAACTAATATAAATGGCACTCAATGCATTTAAAGCATTTTTTACAAAGTTTGAATCAAGATTTTTTTCCCCCAAAGTTCACATTTATTATATATTTTAGTTAAATATGGATGAATGGGGTGAGGGCAATATTAAAAGTAGAAGTCGGGATCTTCTGTGGCCACCAGCTGCTATAAATACGATCTTTTCCACCAAGGCAATTGCAAGTTCTTGAACATGGGAGGACACAAGATTACATGTGGTTTGACATTGCAACGATGATCAGCTGTCTTAGGCATCATGTGTTATGGACATTGCAGTGTTTTGCTTTGGCCACACCTGCAGTCGTCATTCTCCTTACAGCAGAAGTATGGCATGTTCAGGGAGCCTGGGCATCTTTTGGTGCTTTTCAGAGTAAAAGACTTGGTCCATGTGCAATTTATGGTTCATTGAACAAGCATGTAAAACCTTGTTTAAACCGTTTCCAGTAATGTTCTGTATAGGTCCACCTTGTGCTGCCAAAACAGGTCTGATGCATCAAGGCATTGACTCCACAAGACCTCTGAACATGTCCTGGGGTGTCTGGCACCAAGACATTAGTAGCAGATCCTTTAAGTCCTGAAAGTTGTGAGGTGGGGCCTTCATGGATAAAGTAATTTAAATTTCGTACAAGTTAAAAGAACAGGTCATGTAAAGGTAAAATGACACAGTAACTTGTTTTACACTTCCTAATTTTGTGTTTCCATTTAGAACCCATTTCAGAACTAATATAAATGGCACTCAATGCATTTAAAGCATTTTTTACAAAGTTTGAATCAAGATTTTTTTTCCCCCAAAGTTCACATTTATTATATATTTTAGTTAAATATGGATGAATGGGGTGAGGGCAATATTAAAAGTAGAAGTCGGGATCTTCTGTGGCCACCAGCTGCTATAAATACGATAGTGCATCTTTTCCACCAAGGCAATTGCAAGTTCTTGAACATGGGAGGACACAAGATTACATGTGGTTTGACAATGCAACGATGATCAGCTGTCTTAGGCATCATGTGTTGTGGACATTGCAGTGTTTTGCTTTGGCCACACCTGCAGTCATTCTCCTTACAGCAGAAATATGGCATGTTCAGGGAGCCTGGGCATCTTTTGGTGCTTTTCAGAGTCAGTAGAAAGGTCTTAAGTTATTGTAACTTACCTTAATTGTCTGCTGCCTGTAAACCATAAAAGTGTCTAAAGAACTGGTCCATGTGCAATTTATGGTTCATTGAACAAGCATGTAAAACCTTGTTTAAACCGTTTCCAGTAATGTTCTGTATAGGTCCACCTTGTGCTGCCAAAACAGGTCTGATGCATCAAGGCATTGACTCCACAAGACCTCTGAACATGTCCTGGGGTGTCTGGCACCAAGACATTAGTAGCAGATCCTTTAAGTCCTGAAAGTTGTGAGGTGGGGCCTTCATGGATAGAATTTGTTGGTCCAGCACGCCCTATAGAGCAGGGGTGGCCAACGTCAGTCCTGCAGTTTTTTCTTCCAACCTTGATAAAACTCACCTTCCTGTTGCTTTTAGTAACCCTTAGACCTTGATTAGCTTGTTCTGCTGTGTTTGATTAGGGTTGGAGCTGAGGTCTGCAGGACAGTGGCTCTCTAGGACCGTCGTTGGCCACCCCTGCTAAAGATGCTAAATCGGATTGAGATCTGGGGTTTTTGGAAGCCAAGCCTTGAACACTTGGATATGTTCCTCAAACCATTCCTGAACAATTTTTGCAGTGTGGTAGGGTGCATTATCCTAATGAAAGAGGCCACTGCCATCATGGAGCACCATTGCCATGAAGGGATGTACAGTGGGGGAAAAAAGTATTTAGTCAGCCACCAATTGTGCAAGTTCTCCCACTTAAAAAGATGAGAGAGGCCTGTAATTTTCATCATAGGTATACCTCAACTATGAGAGACAAAATGAGAAAAAAAATCCAGAAAATCACATTGTAGGATTTTTAAAGAATTTATTTGCACCACTGTATGTGGTCTACAACAATGTTTAGGTAGGTATTTGTCAAAGTTACATCTACATGAATGCCAAGAATCAAGGTTTCCGAGCAGAACATTGCGCATAACACTTCCTCTGCCAGCCTGCTGCCATCTCCTCCCGAAGTAAATGATACACATGCACCCAGCCATCCATCTGATCTAAATGAAACCATCATTCATCAGACTAGACAATCTTCTTTCTTTGATCCATGGTCCAGTTCTGACACATGCCCATTGCAGGCACTTTCAGTGGTGGCACTGACATCTTTCATCATAGCCCAGCATAAAGTTGTTCAGCAATTTGAACTACAGTATACCTCATCTGTGTGTCTGGACAAGATGGGCTAGCCTTCGCTCCCCACATGCATCAAAGAGCCCGTGACCCTGACGCCATTACACCTGTTGTTAGGTTCTAACCACTGCATAACAGAAACACAACCCACAAGAGCTGGCGTTTTGGATCCAGTCATGAACTCTCAGTTTGGATTCTCTCTTTTTAAAGATATTTCACCATAGTAGCTGGATTTATTTTAATTTTCTTTGTTACACACTACATAGAAGAAACCAAAATCAAATAACCACAATTTACACTTCACTAAACAACACCATTTGCCAAAATGTAACATACACTTGCAAATATTTAAGGGAAATAGGAAGTTTCAGCATATCATGCAGGGTAATTGGTTGAATAATGCAAAAGAGTTTTGTGTAAGGGAAGGATCAATGACAGTTCTGTTGCAGTAAAGTAAATATGGACTTGTATCTTTGTTTACCAGTGTCAATTACATATTTGCAGCACTGAAGATGTCATTAAAATAACCTTATAACCATCAGACAAACAAACACAGGCAAAATACAATAATAGTGTCTACTGTGCTGTTTCACAATACAGTAACACAAATGTGAGAGATTGTTTAAAATTATGATTTTTTTAATTATTAAAAAAATTAGGATTTTTTTTAAATTAAAAATTCAGACAATAAAACTACATTTGTTTCCTCTAAAATAATTCCAGATTGTGTTGTTTTTATAATATTTTTTTATAATAAAAAGTACACAGTTCAGCACTGTGTTGAAAATACAAGTTTATTTGAGCATTTTCCTCTTCATTCACTTGGCGAAATATACGAAAACGACAATAGTTTTGAACAACCATGCAAACATTGCACAATGCATTAATAAATAATAACCTTAACTGTGACATAATCTATCGACACATTTATCGTGCAGACAAACACGAGAATGTGAAGCTTCATATGTCTTATGAGGGGCCAAAATGAAAACGAGTCGAAGCGAAACAATATTTTCACACTGTTGCCCTTTTTTATTTTGATAAACTTGACACTAAGTAAGGTAACGCTTACGTCAACAACCTATCATCACGAAAACAGCAAGGTGAGTGACAGCTTCAAGGGCCAATGGCGTTGTCCGCAGTAGCTGTTCTTTAATCATTCGACCAATAGGCTTCGAGAAAGGGAGGGGGTGAGGCAATTGGGCGTCGAGGCGAAGTTAGGTTGACGAATGGAAACCAACAGAGGACTACGAGTTAAATATTGGATTATTTGATCATCTGACTGGCTTTAACGTTACGTGAACTGACTCGGAGCACGTTAAGGGGAACCCGCGGATGATACTTTTGATTTTGGAAGCCGCCGTTCCGTTTGGATGTGTTTCGGGAGGACCCCCGCGTAACGCGCATAGGTGGCGCGACAGATTAGCTGCGGCGTGCTGAGACCGAGTTCAAGAAATCACAAGTTGCACGCGCGAGAGGAAGACCCTTCCGCGCGATCCTTACTGCTGGATGCTCGCATCTCCTCTTATGACGCTGTTGACTCACGTGCAGTTACAGCTGATGAAAGAGGCCCTAAAGTAGCTGGCGAAATACTCATTTCATATTAATGGATGGCAGCCTCTGCATGTTTGACCGAGTGAGAGGATTCAAGACATTTATCACTCGATTGATTTCTGTGTGGTTCAGTTTCCCAGGACAACCGGGCTATTGAAACACTTACCGTCTATGCTTCGGTTTTTAATTTTATTTAGTTTTTTGGTCATAATTTGAATTATTAACAGTGGTCGGGATTGACTTATGGCTTTTGATGGTGGAAGTTGCACCTCTGCCTTGAATTCAGTATCTCATGGAGTTGCTGTCTTTCACGTTTGATCGGATGTGATGAAAATATCCGGCACATCTTGAGCACCAAAGATGATGGACTTTATTGTAAAATACTTAAGCTAGTAGTCGAGATCATCTTCAAAACAGCAACCTGGATGTTTGAGACCTGTTAAATAAGTCTTATTTATTCATCATATTAATTACGCGTACTACTTAAATAACAATTTTGAGGGTTTGCTGTGCATGTCCTTTGAATGTTCAACGATGCTAAAACTTCTCTCAGAGCATCTCTGATTTCAGAAACGTCTCAATGTCACAAAGTTACAAAGTTCTGCTTTTTGCACATAGGAGGAACGATTCTAAGCAAACGGCACTGAAAGTAGTAGTGTCTTGAAAAATAAATCTGTAAAAGCAATGGCAAGTGAATGCAGCTGCAGTGCTCAGTATGACACTGATGACACCTTTCGCACTTCTTCTAAACTCTCTGCGGGCGGCTGCGCGTCCGTCGCGTCTTCTACCTTCTTCGAGGTCATCGGCGGCTCTCTTCACCGCAGAAAGTTGGAGAAGGGTTTCGTCCAGTACCGGGAGGTGCTGGCTGAAGATAAGCGACTCCAGTCCGTAGCCACCCTCCACGAGAAAGGACCCGGCAAGTCGCACCACACCCTGGACGACACATACAAACTGGTGGCCGAGCACTATTGGTGGGAAGGTTCGTCATTTTGTCTTCTACTGTTATTATTGTTTGTTATTTATTTTTTACAACCGATAAATTGTTTAAATGTCTGTTTTGATTTAGGTGTAAATATGAACTTTGAATCAAATCATTTTAAAACCGAATGAATATTTACACTAGCATGAATATCGATAATATGAATTATAATATTATCAGTAATTATATATACCATTTATATTTGAGCTTATTATAAGCATTTATGTATTTCTGAGATAGACGTGACTGTTGGCGATGCAACAAAGTTTATGCAAATGCGCAGTGCGACTACCAATGAGAGTGCAGACAGTGGTCTACCACCTGACACTGTTAAAATCCCGCGGCAGAGACCTTTAGCTACTTAAATGTTGTCAGTGTGTGAACGTGGCATTAAACTTCAAATGGTAGGTGTTTCTAAACTGACAGTGAATGAACAGGTAGGGGACTCTTCATTACTAAAACTGTAGTCAACTTGGAAGTTAATTCTGTTCTATTGATGTTTTTGACCTGCTGACTGTTGCTAATATGTCAATCACAAAGGCGTGTCATTTTCTGTTTATCCAATGTTGTAAAGTGGCACAGAGATGGCATACAATTTTACAGGTGACTTAGAAGCACGAGAAGCAATGTATCAAGCACTCAAAAAGTCACATTGTTGAGAAAATGTTGCAGCTCACAGAAAACAAGAAATGCCCTAATTGTCAGTGTCTCTGATGTAGCATTTGTCCCCTCACAGAACCTCTGATTTGAGAGGTTGAGGTGCATTAGAGTGGCTTTGTTTTAGGATGACTATTATGCAGCAGCATCTTAATGGAGGATTTTAGGGTGGCACAAATCTCCCTCAGGGCCACCTTATCTCCAGACTTCTTATGATGTTTATAATACCTAAACTGCTTTTGGAATGTCAGATATTCATTTAGTTAGCCTGTGCTTATGGTATTAGATGATAGCTTTGTGATTGAGCATCTGTTAACGGAAAGGTTGTTGGTTTGATTTGAAGATGAAGCGATTGATCCCTTAAAACACGTAACCTTGGGTTATTCCAGGAGCACTGAACCTGTTATTTGTGTACTAAAAGCTTTGGCTAAATGCCTACTTGCTGAATTACTGAGAGGTCGTCATTGATAGAGACTGCCTAACGGTTCAGATTATTGTTTGAGCTCCACATTTATAGCCAAATGCTAACTAAACTTGTAGATTGCTGACAGTAAGGATTCCTGACCTTTAAGTATTCAGCTCAATGTACAATGCGTTTATTTAAGGGACTGTCCCTCTGGAATAATCTAAGGTTGTGTGTCTTGTGATCTGTTCATGGATTATCCCTTCTGGGGTTCAAACCCACAAACTTTCGTTTAGATTTTAACCTCTAAGCTACACCACTCCACAATCCTCTGAGAACAGTTAGCTGGATGACATATCAGTTGCCTCACTCTCTCATTGGTAAACTAGGACTTGTTGTGATGGGTGTAATAAAAGTAATATGAGCTTTTGGTGTGCCGTCATGTTTTTCCTGAATTGCACCATGAGAGATTTTTCAATACATCTTATTGAGGTGTTTTGTCTGTGCCACAATAAACTGAGTTTACTAAGTGAACTTGTTACAAACTAGAAGAACAAGTACTTATAATATGGATTATATGCCACAGTCTAATTCAAGATTAGGAGCGTTTCCATTACTCTTCAAATTGCGCAAATTGAAATTGCTAATTGAAAACGCACCTAATGGAAACGCGTCAATTTAGCAAAAATGGCCATATATTAGTGCTGGGCGTTATGACCAAAAATGTATATCACTGTATTTTTAAAAATTATACCGGTTTCACGGTACATGACGGTATTTATTTATTTTTCATGCATGACCGGGTGTTAACCATATTTTCTACTGATTGAGAGAGAAAATACTGCAGTATATTGACTTAGAATGCCCTATTTTACTGTCATGATAAGTGAATATTGTCAAAAAATACCACACTAAATAGTGACTAAACACGACCCCTTTTAATACGTTAACCAGGAGTCACTCTCATTTATAATCGCGGCATCATCTGATAAAATCAACATGCAACTACACTAAAGAGCGGCTATGCAGTTGTTTTAGCTATATTACTTTTTTGTCTCATGCAGCGCACTGCCTGCTTCTGAGTAACAAACTAAAAAAAACAAACAAAAAAGTGCATGTGATTAGGGATGTAACGATTCACTCAACTCACGATTTGATTCATGATTTTTATTTATTTTTTATTTTTTTTTACAAAATGAGGTTTAAGACAAATTATAAATAAATGTGCCCTTTTATTATTGCTTGGACAAAATGCTGCATGTTTCTTTGTGAAATTGAAATATAACACTATAATAATATACTAATACAGCACTTGTATATTGCTCTTGTTGGCTTTGATTGCTTCTATTGTCCTCATTTGTAAGTCGTTTTGGATAAAAGCATCTGCTAAACAACAAAATTTATGTTTATAATTTAAATGTAAATAACAAAACTAAATTAACATTTTAAAACAAGCCCCAAATCAAATAAATAACACAAATAAAAGAAATATCTTCATATAAACAAAATAAGGCTTTCCATTTAAAATTAGAGGCAATCATTTCCAAACAATGATATAATTGTTTAATAATCATTAAACATAATAATAATAATCATTATCCAAACAAACAACAACATGCAACATGAGGATTTTTTAATCTAAATCAAATTTAGAAATTATACAATGTAAAGCAAAAACAGAATGGTTTGACTTCAGTTTTGAGAAACTATACATAAAAATATCTGCATGAAACACACAGCAGACGAGCTGAATGAGACGCAGACTCACTCTCTGCCAGCAGGTGGCGCTTAAAGCGTTTCCTTGGTTTCTGCTGTAATCAAAGCAGCGCTGCACTTATGAACTTTAACATGCATTTTACAGAGGCAAGATGAAAAGAAAAAATACCATCTAAACTTTTCTAAAGACCGTAAGTTCCCCTCAGACATGCATTCATATAAACTCCTACCCCTAAATGAATCGCGATTTTAGCATCTCAACCGATTTGAATCGTCACATATTTGAATCGATTTTCAACCGGCTCGCGGTTAATCGTTACATCCCTACATGTGATATTAACAGACGAACTATGCTCATATTGATAATTCCAAACAATCAGTAAGCGACAGGTGCTAGGAAACGCTGTTTTGTACTCATTTATTGACGAGTCGGCTGCGGTTCGGCCAACTGAATGTGCTGCTTCTCTGCTGCTCACTGCACAGAACAGACGCCGAGAGAGGTGACTCTTGTGTTTAACTTTTTTGTTTGTTTGTTTACTTGTTACAGGATTTCCACTGTCATGGGCAACCTAGAATATTAAAATTGATATTATAATTGTGATTTTTCAGGACTGGAGTCATAAAGAATACATTTTAAGACTATTTTATCCTTCAGGGCATTAATCAGTTATCATTTATGGTTTCTCACATAGGTTTCAGTAAGCAGAGCTTGCTTGCTTTACTAGAGTTCTCTTACACTTCTACCCTCAATCTGAATTTGGACATCTTAACAGAGGTTTGTGCGATGGCTCGCTATCTACGCAGGTGGCATGCCCTTGAGGCTTGCTCTGCTATCAAAAGGGAGCGAGAGACTTGTCAATTACGTTCCAGAATGCACAGTTCTCTTGGAGAACCAAATAATTCAATGCCTGGACCTTTCAGGAAAGACCACTCCTCAACTTCAGGAGGGAAAGTGGGACTCAGGAGGAGGAGAGAGGATGAGGAAGAAGGCTCTGGGTCTTCCTGGAACATTCAAGCACAGCACAGAGAGCACATTGTTGATAAAGTCACAGAGGAATCTGAAACAGAAACCTCAAATCCTCATTTGCAATGCCAAGTCCCATCCAGTTATCAGGTGGAGGAAAATGGCTTTCCATGCAGCCCAAATCGCAGAATGAAGCTCATGGACTTCAAATCTCCATCCTGCAAGAAAAAATCATCCTCCCGCCCCACATCTT